TCTTCACCAAGTACGATTACCTCGGGTCGCTCTTAAAGGAGTTCCAGGCCGAGCTCCAGGTACCCCACACGGCGCCGATCGCATCGGACCAAGCGTGGTTCTGGTTCCTCGAGATGAAGTTCCTCATCACGTTCCTGCATCAAATGTCCTACATGGAGCTCGCGCTCTCGGCCACCAAGCCCGATACAATGACGACCTTTCAGTCGAACGCGGCGACGAAGGACCGCGCGCACTTGACCGACCGCGCCGAGATGTCGGCGCGCCTCATCTTCTTGGAGCGGCTCATGGAGTACGTGGCGTGGCTTGGTGACCAGCGTCTCGCGCTCACGCAGCCGGCGCCGCGCGTGCACCGCCTCGCCAAGCGCTACGGCATGAACGCCAAGGAGACGGAGCTTTTCCAGCTCATGGTCATCTTCCAAGGCTGCCAGTCGACCACGGTGCGATCACAGATGGTCGAGGAAGACGTGAACCGCAAGATGATGAGCTTCCAGCGCCTCGCCGGCATCTCGGAGATTGACATTGAAGAGTTCCACGACGACAGCCGCGAGCACGTCAAGGAAGGCACGCTCCTCGCCGACTGCGACAACTACATTACGATCCTGACGCTGTCGTCCATTTCAGTGCGTGTCATGCTTGGCCGGACGCTGTCGCCGTCGCAGATCCTCAAGCTCAGCCAGACGTCGCTCGAGGCCATCTTGCGCGAAGAAGGTATCGTGTACGAACACGTGCTCGAGCTCCAGGACGACGCAATGGCCGGCAGCGACAACGAGCAGCCCAACGAGCACGACGACAACGACGACGTGGTCGACGAGACAGAGGAAGCCGCGACCGAAGACGAGACGCCGCCCGACGACAGCATCGTCGCCATCGAAGAAGACGACGAGGAAGAAGTTGTCGACGACGACGACGATGACGACGACGACATTACGTCGGCGTACTCGTTCATCGGCAAGTACAAGCCGACCAAGAGCGCGCACGGCAGCAGTGGCCCGTCGCCCGACGTGCCGTTGCTGCACCATCTGACGGACAAGAATGCGCTCCTGCCTTACAGCCCTGAGAACCAGCTCGAGTACCTCGAAGACCGGTTCCAGGTCGTGGCCTTTGCCATTCGCGCATCGGGCGCTCGCGTGAAGGACCAGATGAAGGAAGCCGGCACCAAGCAGCCGTGGAACGACAACTACGGCACCACCATGTCGGCCGGTAAACGCGAGCTCAAGGCCAAGCAGCGCGTGCAGGACCGTCGCGTTGCGCACCGCCTCCAGCTCACGCGGTATTTTTTCGAGATTTCGAGAATTTCGAGTTTGACGTCTCAATTGCTTTTGTGTAGGACCGCCAACCTCGCACTGCCGCGCCTGGAAGAGATGGCGACCAAGTTCAAACTCAACGCGTTTGAGCAAAACGTGATTGTGATGCTGATTGGCAAGACGATCTCGCCCGTGCTCAAGAACCTCCTCGAAGGCGTCGACACGTCGGTCGTCCAGCGCATGGACGAAAGCATCACCGTGAACCAGATTCTGAGCGTCTTTTGCGACACGTTCCAGGAACAAGTCGCGCACCGCGTGACTTTTACAAGTCGGCGCGGCTTCTCCAGCGCGGGCTCATCAAACTCAACCGCGGGTACCGAGTCCTTGTTCACATAAATCGATTGTCTCACACGAACACTGTCGTAGGCGGTGGCACTCGAGCGGCGGCGATCTCGTGGACCAGCGCGTCGACTTGGATCGGCGCGTGCTCGACTGGGTCGTGGGCCTCGACACGGAGATCAACGAGCTCGTCGAAGGCTCCGACTTGTACAACCCCAAGGTGCAGCTGTCTCAAGTCGTGCTTCCCGACGAGTACAAGCACACGATTCTGAGCACGGTCACGAGCTACGAGCACTTTCGCGTCTACCGCAAGACGAGCGGGCTCGACCAGACGCTCACCTACGGCACGGGTCTCGTGCTGCTTCTCTGCGGCGCCTCGGGCACGGGCAAGACGATGACGGTCAACGCGGTTGCGCACCACCTCAAGAAGCGCGTGCTGCTTGTGGACTTTCCGTCACTCCAAGGCAAGGCCAGTCAGGACCGCGGGTACGTCCTACTGGATAGATACATGTATTGGATACATGGATGCTGATGGATCGATCGATATGTAGCGAGTGCGACGCGGACTTGCGCGGCTTGTTTCGCGAGGCCGACATGAGCAACGCGATTCTCTTCTTCGACGAGTGCGAGTCAATCTTCAAGCAGCGAGAAATGGGCGGCGACCGCCTCTTGAACGCGCTTTTGACGGAAATGGAGCGCTACGAAGGTAGACACCCCAACGCGTATGTATGGTTTTGGCTCATACGAACCAGGCATTGTGTTTTTGGCGACGAACCGGCCGTTCGATCTGGACGAAGCCATGCACCGCCGTATTACCGCCGTCTTCGAGTACAAGGCGCCGGACCACATCCAGCGGCGTGAGATCTGGCGCGTGCTCGTCTCGGACAAGCTCCAGACGTCGCCCGATATCGACTGGGACGCGATTGCGCTCAAGTACGAGCTCTCGGGTGGCTTCATCAAGGTACCGCCGACATCTCGACAAATCTTCCAACATCCAATGGAATATGGATAGAATGCGATCCTGTCGGCGTTGCTCAAGGCCATCGAGCGCAGTCCGACGTCGCCCGTCATCTCGCACGACGACATTGTGGCCGGTTGCGCGCTGCAGATGCGCGGCAGTCTGCACATGAAGACGTTTGACCACCGCGTCGTGCCGTCGACGGGTCTGGACGCACTCATCGTCGACGCGACGACAAAGGCGACCTTGGCCGAGATAGTGCAGTTTGAGAAGGCCCGCAACGTGATTTACGGCCAGTGGAATTTTGATTTTGGCCTCACGACCAAGTACAACAAGAAGAACCAAAAGGGCGTCTCGGCGCTCTTCCTGGGCCCGTCTGGCGTCGGCAAGGTGAGCGCCGCGAAAGCGCTCGGGTTTGAAGTCGGCCGCCCGCTCAAATTGCTGCACTTTTCGCAGCTGCAGTGCGACTCGGCCGCCGAGTCGCGTCGCGCGCTGCAGTCAGTCTTTGACGACGCGCGGCTCATGGACGCGGTCCTGGTCCTCGAAGGATTTGAGATGTTTGGCATTGACATGCACGGGCAGGCCGACCCGGACTCGCCGCGCTTCAAGCTCGAGGTCCGCCGCCTCATGGACATGATGGACACGTTTCCAGGCATTTCGATTCTGATTGCCAACTCGGCGCCGGGCCAGAGCATGAACTTGGACCCCGAGTGTTCGCGCCGGCTCAAGTTTGTGGTCGAGATGAAGCCGCCGAACGCGAGTCTGCGCACGCAGCTGTGGCGGTCGTTCTTTCCGCCGGCCGCGCCGCTCGCCACCGACGTGGACTTTAAGAAGCTGGGCGCGCGCTTTGAGTTGTCGAACGATGCGATTTCAAATGCGGTCTTTCGCGCGGCGGCGAGCGCGGCCTTGCGCCCCGAGGCGACGCGCATTATCTCGATGGCCGACTTGATGCACGCGGCCGAGACGGAGAAGAAGAAGAGCCGCGGCAACGCGCAGGACATGCGCGACCGGCTCTTTGCCTAAGTAAGTTAATGACGCATAAGCACACACAAGTCGATAATACCACGATCAAGCAAGTGGTCGCTTTGTACGCAATGGATCCTGGCCCGTCGACGCCATGTAGGAAGAAGGACGGTTTGCGATGGAGCTGTCGACTTAAGGGCATCCAGCCGACTCGCCGACGACTCTAGTTGGTCGGAACGCAAGCCAAGTAGAAACGACAACGACGACTTGTTCTAGGGCTAGAGTACGACTACGAGATCTCACGACGGGTGCGACGCCTTGGCGTACTTGGCCCGCGGTCGCGCGTCGAGGTCGGCGGTCTCGGCGCTGCGCTTGGTCGTCGGCGGCGAAATGGTGGCTGTCGTCGCCGACTGGAAGAGCGCGCGTTTGGCGGCGAGCAGCGGCGTCGTGCCACGCGGCAGGAGCAGCGCATGGCTCTTGCTCTGCGGCGTCGTGAACTGGTCCGCATGCTCGCTGTAGCTGGACGTACTTCGGCTCGTACTGCTACTGCTATTGGGATTCGTACTCGTGCTCGTTGCCAGGAGAGGACACTGGCGCGGCTCGTCGATCGTGTGCTTGCCGAGGTGCCCAGGCGGCGGGAGGCTGTAGCGCCACCACTCGTCGGCGGTGGCCTTGGGCGTCGGCGCCACGTCGGGCTCGTCGACGACGATGCGCAGCGACTTGCGGCTCTTGGACATCCGGCGGATCCTTTCTTTGTGGGGAGGTGTATTTAAGGCGAGTTCCGCACAGTAACTGCCACTCGTCGCACCGAGCCGACGCTCGACTACTCGACTCGATACAAATCTGATGCGTTCATGCTGCTAGCATTAAAGGTGCTGCGCGGGCTAGACGCGTGGCGCGGGAAGCCACTGGCGTCTCAAGGGGGTTGGCGATGGTGCACAAGGCGGCGGCGGTGGGACGACCTTTCTGCCCGCGCCGTTCCGAGACAAGATCGCGGCAAAGCAAAATCTTATCCGAGCCCCATCTTGGCCGTGCTATTGCGCGCATTCTATGCGCGCTGCGTGGAGGCTGCCAAGCTGCACAGAGAGCAGAGCGCACGTCTTGCCTTCCGTGATCTCGTCGTTGAAAGATTGTTGGCGCCAAATCAATACACACTATATTGGATCGTAAAGCACACTATATATATGTAGATTGAGGAGGTTGGAGGTAGTGTTACACCACGCAACCGTTCAGTGGTACGTATAAGAGACTGCAAAATGCCGTAAAACGGTGGATACAAGAGACACTGTAACATTGCATACGCGGTGGTATCGACTATCGCAGAGCATTGCAGGTACCGAGGACCAGCGACCGGAAGCAACCCGACGCCTGCCCCGATCGTCCTCATGTCCCGCGTGCTCGACCTGGTCAATGAAGCGCAGCTCGCGGTGGATGCGAATGAGAAGGTGACCGTGCTGCACCGGCTGAAGGAGGTCGTACTCGAGCGCAGCCCGCCACCGGGACTGCAAGAGTACGCGGCTGCGATGGACGGCCTTGCCGCCATGGCCAGCGAGCGCAATGTGAACGTCGCCAAGACCATCTGCCAGTTCATTGAAGATGCCATGGACCCAGCACGGAACGCGTCGATCAAGTCGCCGCCCGTGCTCTCCAAGACGCGCTTCACGCTCTTCCAGGCGACGGCTGCGGTCCTCACCATCAACGCCGGTCCCTCGGCCGTGCGCAAGGCGCTCAAGCTCCTCGACAAGTACGTGCCCGCGACGATCTTCTTTGTCTGGACACAGCCGCTCGACGCGCTCGACGAGTCTGTGTGGCTCCAAATGCTCGATACGATCCAGATCCTGCAACACATCATCGACCAGCTTCAAGACGCCGAGTCGATCCTGCTTGCTGCGCGCGTGCTCGAGACCGTCGCGCTCCACTTTTCGTACGCCACCGACAGCGTCCATCGCGACCCGGCGAGGTCCAACGTGCAGCCGGACGCAGTGCACCTCGCGATGATCCCGGCGTCGCACCGCTTTGTGCGCCCCGAGCCGCTCGCCGACCTCGGCCAGCACATTGTACACGCGCTCTGCAATCGCCTCTCGTCCGCGCCCCGCCACCCGATGCTTTCGTTTGGCCGGCGCGAGTTTGTGAGTTTCATCCACTCGATTAGTCTCATCGCGTGTCTGCGCACGGACTTTGCGCCGATCGTCGTACCCTGCCTCGTCAACTTCCCGTCGATCATGGACACGGTCGACGCGCGTGTCCAAGACACGCTTCTGCATGCGATCAAGGCCAACTTGATCAAGCTGCTCCGACTGCCGCTCCCAAGTGACCTCCAGGAAGACATGACAAACACGCTCATCGCGATGGACGCCTCCAAGCGGGCGCTCGAAGCCCTTAGCAAGTCCAAGGAGACGCGACGCATGTACGTGGCGGCGCCAACCGATGCGTCGCTCAAGAACCTCCGGCGCGACGACGCCAAGCGGCGCCTTCCGTTCGACGCGAGCAGCCTCAAGAGCAAGCGCGCCAAGGTCGAGGACGTCAAGCCGACGGCCATCACGGCCGAGTCGATCGTGAACCTCCCGAACGACCACGTCGTGCGCTTCGTCCTCGGCAACATGGGCAACTTGCCGGCGGTGGCGCCGCTGACCGCGTCGGGCGTCAAGCTCGAGCTACTCCACACGCCGAGCGCGCTCAAAGATCGCATCACGTCCATGTTGTCGCGGCTCGCGACGCCGTCGTCGGTGCTGGCGCTGGCCATGAACGCTAAGAAGACCGCCGCCGCGCGCCGAGACCCGCGCCTGCGGCGCGACAACGTCAAGACGGAGGCGCCGAGCCTCTTGCCGGCGTTCGACGACAACAGCCTCGAGTCGGTGACCAACATCGTGTGTGCGAACGCGCAGACGCTCGTCGAGCCCATCATTTCGGTCACGAAAGACGAGGTCACGCGCGAATACAACGCGATCCGCGTCAACATCAAGCCCGTGAGCGACGACTGGTGCCGGCAAATGGCGCATCTGAGCATCTCGCGCATGCTCGAGAACGAGTACGGCATCCTCACGAGCGGCCACGAAGGGCTGCGCGAGGCCTTGATCTGCCGCCTCGCGACCAGCCGATGGCTCTTGGAAGAGAACGCGCGCGATGCCAAGTCGATCCACAAGCTCATTGTCGACTTTGTCGGCGAGGCGCTGCACAAGCGGCACATGATCCTCGTCTCGCTCGCGTACCACGAGTACACGCGGTCGCTCTACGACAGCACGCAAAGCGTCGACCACGGCCGGTACCCGCGCTTGCTCCAGCTCGTCTGCGCGATGCTCTCGACGCGCATCGACCCAAGCGTCGCGGCCGACAAGAAGCTCTTTTATGCCATCTTGTCGCACTTTCCGGGTCTCACGAAAGATGTGCTCGCGATGCTGGCCAAGCAGCTCGGCGACGCAGCTGACAACCAGCGCCTCATCATGGGGGTCAGCGCGCTCCGCAACTACATTACGGACCGCGCGGCGGGGCAGGAAGCGTGCTTGCACATTCTTTTGCATTTTGCGACCCACGTCGAAGAGGCGACGCGCAACCTCACGATCCGGTGTCTTGCCAACCAAATCTACCCGCTGCCCAAGATGCACGAGATCATTGAGGCACACGCAATGACGCTCATGACGTCCCTCTGCGAAGCACCCGCGGACGACGCAGCCGCGATTGAGGACGACCAAGACGAAGCCAAGATCAAGATGTTCGACGACGTAGAAGAGGCGCTCACGACCCGCGTCCCGCTTTCACCGCGCCGCAAGTACTACCTCGACCGCATCGTGCAGCCGACTGTCACGGTGGACGATACGCTTCTGGCGTTTGCCAAGGAACTGCAGAAGGAGCACGACTTCAGCGTCGCGCCCGAGAGTGAAGCCCACGTTCTCCAGCGCATGGAGCTCTTCCTTGCGCTCTGCGCCAAGAAGCCCGAGCTCTTTGCGCATTTCGTGTCGACGTATGCGCGCGCGTCCCCGCCCGTGCAACACGTGCTCGTTACGTCTGTCGATAAGCTCATCAAGCACCTCAAGCAGCGTGAAGGCGACGCGGTCGTTCTCGCCCAGCTGCAGCCGTTCCCGGCAACCGCACTCGACTTTGTGGGCCACGTGGTGCGACTGCTGGTGTCGCTCTCGCGCGACCCGTCGACGCTCGTGGAGCCACTTCTTGCGCTCTACAACGCCCATGCGACGTACCCCGACGCGGTCGGCCTCTTGATTCCGATCGTGTCGGAGATGACGACCGACGTCTTCTTGCCGCTGCTGCCGCGCTTCTTCCAGCTGCCACCCGCGCGGCTCACGGAAACCATGACCAAGCTGCTTGCGCCGATCCCGCTCAAGGTCGATCCGACGGCGCTCCTCCTCGCGCTGCACCACGTGCCCGACGAAGCCGAGCGCCAAAAGCCCGTGCTGAAGGCGATTGGCATGTGTCTCGAGCACCCTGCTGTGTTTACGCCCGACGTGTTCCAAACCGTGATTACGACGCTTGTGCAAGAGTCGCCGATTCCGAAATTCACGATGCGCACGATGATCCAAGCCGTCCAACTCTACTCCAAGCTGCGCAAGCCGATGGCGTCGAGCCTCGAAGCGCTCGTCGTCCGCGAGCTCTGGACGATGGACGAGACGCTCTGGAAGGGATTCATGAAGTGCGCTGTCGTCGTCCAGCCGCACTCGTTCCCGGTGCTGCTGCAGCTGCCTCTGGAGCAAGGCCAAAGCATCCTCGAAATGGACGAAGGCAAGGACCTCCTCGAGCCGTTCAAAGCCTTTTGCACGAAAGACGACGTGGTGCTGACCGCCGAGTGGCGGACATACTTGGGTCTCGACGACGTCACGCTCGACGACGAGGTGGTCAAGGTCGACGAAGAAGAGGCGGTCAAGGCCGAACCGCAATCCGAGAACCAAGACAACATGGTTGATGTCAAGATGGAGGACGACCAACCCGACGCTTAACACCCTAATGTGGTTTGCGTTCACTTCTCCTTGACATGCTTGTAGGGGTAGGTGTGGGATGTTCGGACGTGTTTAGTTTTTGTCCGCCCTGGAAGCGGCGGCGGCTCTCTGTTGTTTCGAGACTTCGCGCAGGTCGTGGAGGAAGTTGGTGAACTGGTTCGGCTCGGCTTTGTTGCGTGCGATCTGCGCTTGGGCGGCGGCCATGACCTTGGCGACCTCTGCCGCGTCTTTGCCTGTCGCCAGCAGTAGCTGTACGGTACAGTGATCGACGCAGTAGAGCTGCGACTTGAAGACGGGTGTGGCGCAACCGGGCACACCACACGGCGCATCTTTCGCCTTCTTCTGCTTCTCCTTCTCGGAGTTGATGACGTGTGGTTGAGACTCTTGCTGCTGCTGCCGCTTGTGCTCGGCCATGATCGCTTGGTCGCGGCGCATCGCCTCGAGACGCTGCTCTTCCGAAATGCGCTGGCGCGCGAGGGCGTCAGCGGCTGCGTCGTCGTCGGCGGCTTTCCGGAGCGCCGCGATCTTGCGCTCGAGGTCCAAGATTGGCGCGGTGGCTTCGATCGTCACGAGCGATGGCAGTGGTTCGACTTCATGCTCGACGCGCTTGCCCTTGGCGTGGTATCGCTCGAAGCAGCCCGGGTTGCCCATCCAGCGCGCGCTGCAGTACTTGTCGCCGCAGCTCATGCACTTGCGGTCCGCGGGCTTGCCGCAGTCGGCGCAGAGGTTGTCGCCGTACAGCGCGGCTTTGGCTGCTGCGAGCTGCGTCTCGAGGCACGCGCCCACATGCTTGGACGCAAGGCGGCAGACCGTGCACACGTGCTTGCTGCAGTGGCGACAGACCTCGTCCGTCGCGCGCGCAGTACAGGCGACGCAGTGCCCTGCGCCTTCATGGAGCGGCTGCACAATCGGCTCCATCGCATGGCTCGCTTTGTTGCCGCGCGCGTGCGTTCGGTCGGCACAGTCCATACAGAGCGCGTCCTGGCACACGAGACAGCGCTTGATCGCAACGCGCTCTTCGCACTCGATACAGACCAAGGCTTGGGTCGGGTACGTCTCGACGACGTGGCGGGACCGGGAGCCCTTGGCATGGACGCGGACATAGCACTTGTCGCAATAGTCTTCCTTGCAGTCGAGGCACCGATGGCTGCTGTAGCGCGTGCACTCGACGCAGCGCAGCGGCGCCGCATGCACATGGTTGAGCGGCTGGTACGTGTGCCACGACAGCGCTGGCGGGTGCCCAATGCAGAAGCACGCAAAGCAGTAGTAGACGTAGTCGCCGCTGGACGTGCAGCACACGTCGCAGACGCGGCTCGCGCGTTCGTTCTTGCACAAAGAGCAGACGACGTTGCTCTCGAACGACATCACAGCCTCCGGCGCTTGGTTGCTCGACGCGAGCCATGGCCAACTCAAAATGCGCTTCTTGGACACGCGATCCAGGACCAGCGGCCGGAATGGCAGCGCCCGGCCATACTCGTCGATGGGCGGCCGACTCAGGCGCTCCTGCGTCGGCGTGTAGACGTAAAAGCTGAGCTGACTCGCTTCGACGTAGTGCTCTTCGTACTCGGACGCTTGCTCGGCGACGAGCCAGGCTCGGGAGATGCGGGCGACCATGCAGCGGTACGCAAGCTGCAGCACAATGGCGCATCGATGGCGGTACGCGACAAGTGCTTTGTACCACCGGTGCAGTCGGAGCATGCGAAACGTACTCTGGACGAGGATCGTGGCGCGAATGTACGCCAGGCAAAACTCAAGCCCGCCAATGCGGAGGTACAAGGCCGCTTGCCCGACCGAGAGCTTGCGGGTTGCCGCAATGTTGGGCTCCCAGAGACCGCGCGTCTGGGGTAGCACCGCGACCACCTACAGACGACCGTGGAAAGAGCAACGAGACAGGAAGGCTACCGTTGCGAGCTGGGACGGCGTGAGTGGCACGGCAGTAAGGGCGAGCTTGGGGTCGTGGGCAACGCCGTGGATGCAGTGAGAGATGGCGATCGCAGAGAGGAGGCAGCGTGCGAGGTGCTTGAGTTGCATGTTGGCAGCAATCACGGCGCAGCGCTTGAGCGCACTCTGGTACAGTTTGTACAGCGAGACCTCCTTTTCCTCGGTCGTTGACTGCGGTGGCACGAGCTCGGCACTCAAGTTGTCCGTGGCTTGTTGCGGCCGGCCGCTGTAGAGGCGAATGTACATTTCGAGCTGCTTGGTCGAGACCGGCACGGGCAGCTCCCGCACGGCGCGCACGAGGCTCAGGACGCGGCCTTGCTGGCCCGTAAAGTGCGCTGCGAGCGTCGCCTGCAGCACCTTCTCGGACGTAATGCAGAGAAAGCCGTGCTTCTCCGGGATCGGTAGCATGCGAGGCGTGAGCGGGTACACTCGGAGCGACATTGGCGGCCTTGGTCGCGGCGCCGCTTTGAGCAGCACCCTGTCTTCCTTGGTCCACGCCACGTTGTACAACGATAGCAGCTTGGTGTCTGGAATTAAATAGAACGACTCGATCGAGTGCTTGGCTTTGGCAAACGACGGCGCGTACTTGGCGAGCCCGAGTCGATGCAAGTAGACGCTCAGCGACATCCCCTCGAGGTCGAAGCCAACGTGCGCGATGGTTGCGCCGGCCGCTATCGTCGCGTGGACGTGCTCGGCAAACGAAAAGCTGTAGAGCAGCTTCCGGAACGCCTTCCGTCCGAGGAACATGTGGTAGGCGGCTTGGATCGCACGCGCCGCGTACTCTTGCTCAAAGACGTACTCGGGTGCATCCCACGAGACCGCAGCAGACATTGCATTGTAGTAGTACGTCCGGCTGTTGGGCTCGTCGACCGTGTGCCATCCAAACGGCATCTCGACCTTGGTGTACGCGAGCGTCAGCGCGGTATGGCGGTCCGGCGCCAGCGCCGATCGAAGCTTGTCGTACGCGAGCAGCATGGCCACGAGCGCCGACGCGTGCTGGCTCGGCGGCCGTGCGTACGACGGCAAGAGCAACGCCGCCTTGGCCTCCCGCAGGACACTGCGGTGGTACGCCGAGGCAAACACGATGTAATGGGCCTCGGCGATGGGCGCGATGGACACGCCGCTGCTTGGCATGACCTTGCGCGTCGACCGCGATGGTGCCATCGCGGCCGTCCACTGCAGCGTGAGCGGGCTGCGTGTCGCACTTGCTTGGATGCGCAGCGTAATAGAGCGCTGTCGGTCCATCCAGTGCGGGTCCCACAGCGCGCGCTCGCGCTCTTTCTTGGCGGCGCGGAGCTGTGTGCGGAGGTAGCTCTGGCGTCGACACCGCCCGAGGAACCGCCGGCTCGCGCGCTGGAGCTTCAAGCACGCCGCGTGGTGTGCAAGGGCGTAGCTTGGCCGCTCCCAGACCATGGTGCCACTTGGCGTGTGAATGTAGTACCAGACTTGAAACTGGTCGTGCCAGTCGGCTTCGTAGCCAAACCGGAGCGTGAGACTGAGTTCGTCGAGGAGCGCGGCGTGGGCGGCGGCTGCGGATCGCTCGGCGATGACCTTTTGCATGGCGTTGACGTCGTCTTCCCAGACGCGGCGCACACTCTTGCGCACTCGGTCGGCGTCGTACGAGGCTTGGAGGTGCGTGCGCAGGTGCTCGAGTCGGCTGGCGACCTTGCCGCGTGCGCCAGAGGCGCTGGACCGCCATCGCGCTCGTATGCATCGCAAGGAGGCGCGTCATGCACTGGCGCCACACCATTGGGCGGTGGGGCAGCTTGGTCATATGCGCCGCATGCGTCGCTTGGAGCAAGGCCGCCGCAATCGGCAGTGATGACGACGCGTGGGCGTCAGCCATGTCGATGACCGAGACAGCGAGAAGCTCGGCCATGCGTTCGACCGCGAACTGCAGCACGTCGCAGCAGGCTTGCAGCCGATTGGTCTCCGCCTTGGCGATCTCGGCGTCGAGCTTGGAGTAGAGAAGGTTGGGTGTATGGAGCTTGACGTCCGAGATCGTTGCGTGCAATCCGAAAAACGTCATGAGCTGGCACGTTGTCACGGGCTTGGCGCGCAGCGACTCGACGAACGAGAGCGCGCGGTACTCGTTGTTGGGAAAGTGGTCCAAGAAGAGACGTTTGATGTGCTAGACCCACACGAATCAAACGGCGAATCCGACAAATGACGTACCTCAGGCGAGTCGATGTAGAGGCAGCTGCGCTGCACAAAGATGGCCTTGACCTCACGCTCTTCCATGCGCTTGAGCGTCTTCTTGGCGGCCTCCATCGCCTCTTTGGCCGCCATGACGCCCGGCGCCCGTCGGTCTCGTTCATATTCCAACGTGCCGAGGAGCTCGGTTGCGGCGCGTAGCTGCTGGGCCGTCGTCTCGAGTCGGTGTCGCAGCGCGCGTGGCGGGTGTTTAAAGTCACGGGCCTCGAGCGTTGCCGCTTTGTGCCGCTCCGTGGCTGACATGACGATGCCCTTTTGGTGCGCCGCCCTCGCGACCGCAGTTGTATACGGCGCGTCGAGACGGCGGAAGGTGACGCTGCGCTCGGCCAGAAGGCGGCGCTGGGCGCGCACGTCGTCAAGCCACGTGCGATACTGCAACGCAGAGAGCAGCGTTTGCCTGCATTCCTTGTCACGCACCAGCGTCGTCACCTGCGACTCGGAGAGCGCGCGCAGACTGGCAACGCTCTTGCACCTACACCCACGCGTTACATCCCCCATCGTCTCCACGAACGTCCTACCCGAGCTTGAGGAGGTCGTCGTACAAGCTCTCGAGGCCCAGTCGCCGCAGCCATCCCGGTAACCCGAGGCCCACCATCGGGTCAAACGGGTCAAAGTGCCGCAGCGACGACTCGACGGCATGCGCGACGATCGCCATGAGGTCCGTGAACGCCTTGTACGGGTTCGCCACGCGGCGTCGCTGGATCGTCAGCAAGCGCGCGGCAAATCGCTTTTGCGCGTTTTGGCGCCAAATCCGCTGGAGGCGCGTCGCCATGCGTTGGCGCAGCGCGTCCCGCGTCCAGCGGGCGACGAGGGCTTGTCGACAGAGACAGCCGCGCCAGCACCTACCCATGGTGTTCGATCGCGCGCTGCCATCCGAGCACATTACCGCTGCAGTGTCGTCGCGTGTCGCCCGCGCGTGCGCATCACCGTCTGCGTCACACGCTCGATGGCCTACGCGTCACCCGATGGAGTGGTCTCTCAGAATGCATTGTTTCGTACCTGCACCAGCACGCGCCGCATGAAGGCACTCGCAACGCGATATCGCCGGGCGCGGTGGAGCGCCGCCACCACCCGCCGCGCACGCCACCCGCGTGCAATGCGCTGAATCGCGATCGCGGCGCGCGTCTTCTGGACGAACGCCCGCGTCCACGCGCCGTGCACCAGCGCTTGTATCTTGGTGGCGGCGGCATCGCGAACCTCGCGCAGCGCTCGGGCATCCTCGCGCAGGATGCGCTGCTTGCGGGTTTGGAGGTGCCGGAGCATGCGGCCAGGCACCGCTTTGCGCCACCAGAACTGCAGCCGCGTCGCGGCGCGCACCCGCCGAGCATGGTGGACCCGGAACCACCACTTGAGGCGGCGGTGCATCACGTGCTCGGAATGCAACTGAGTGCGTGTACAGCGCGCCTGATAGCATCGAATGGCGCACTGGAGGCGAAGGGCAAGCACATGACGCCGATGCTGTATAAATGCTTTCACGTAGCGCTGGAGCGTTCGCGCGTGCTGGTGCCGCGCCAGCCGATGCAGCGTCGCCGCCTCGTTGGCCTCGTCCGCGTCCTTTTCCCGGAGACACCCGAGGAGGAAGAACGTCGTGTACTCGTTGTTGCGCCGGTACCACGCCTTTTGAATCAAGAGCGCTGCCGAGATGCGTCGCGCCAAGTACGTTCGGATGGCCCGCGCCGCACGTCGTCCGAAGAGCCCGCGGACCATGCGTTGCAGCAGGAGCGTGGCTTGCCAGCGCGCTTCGACGAACCGCCGCTCGACGAGGACGACGGTGCGGACGAATTTCCGCCCGATGCGGCCGCGCCAACTGCGCTGCACAAGGAGTGCGGCCACGCGCAGACGCAGAAAGCGGCTGCGGCAGAGGTACCGGCGGATCGCGGCTTGCATGCGCTTGATGTGACGGCGCACCTTGTGGTACGCATGCTCAGCGATGCGCTTGCGAGCCAGCGCCTGGATGCGGGTCGCTGCGCGGCGCTGCCGCTGCATGAATTTGCGAAAGCGGCGACCGCGGTACGGCGCCTGGACCGCGATGGCCGCGGCCCAGAGCTGCCGGCGCTCGAGTCGAATCCGCAGCGGAAGGCAAAACGCCAGGTGCAAGCGCGGGGGCGCGAGGTACATGTCGCGCAGAGCGCCGTTGACAGGACACGCGTCGTGGAGCTTGTAGACGCGCTGGAGAGCAAAGTACCGGCGAACGCATGGCTGGATGCGACGCGCAGCGACATCACGGGCCATATAGAGGTCGGTCCGCGTCGTTTGGACCCACTTGACGTACCCTTTGTGCAGAAAGGCCTTGACCACGAGCGCCATCGCGAGGCGCATGCGCTTGAGCGCGGCTTGGCGCACAAAGGCGCCCATGCGGTCGTGGTACCGAGAGCGCTCAACGAGGCCCTTCCACTGCACCCACGCCACACGCTGCTGGTTGACCTCAAACTCTTCGAGCCATAGCGCCATCGCATGCTGAAGGCGGTCGCGGCAGTAGCCCACGCCGCCCGGCAGCTCGAAGAGAAACTTGAGCGGCAGTTTGTTGCGCATCAAGTGGATGCGGCGGTCCATCTGCACGCGCAGCGATGCTTCTTGGTCGCGCAAGGTGTGCAGCGCGGTGCTAAAGCCGCGCATGAGCGTCGCATGCTCGGCGACTGCAAGCGCATCGACCGCGGTCGTCGACGTGGAGTCGATGGGACACGAGAGAATCGCGAGAAGGCGCTGTCGCTTGTACGCGGCGCTTGAAATGTCGAGCGACTCGTCGACTTGGTCGTTGGTCGCCTCCGTGGTGCGGACCACGAGTCGTCGCTTGGGCGCGGGGACGTAGACCAAACTCTGGAGCTCGGGGTGCTGTGCAAAGCTCGAGTCTGCATTCGCGTTGGTTCATTCGACAAAGGGAAGGGAGCGTACCGAGGATGACCGGGCGGATATCGCCCCACGGCGTCGGTCGCAGTCGACTACACACCTCGATGGATGAGACGTTGCCGTCAAGTGCCATGCTACCTCTCGGCCGACCGGCGAACGCTCTCGCGGCTAAACGGGAGACTCATTGGCATGTGGTTCGTCGCCAGCATCTCGAGCATGTGGTCGGGTGGCAGCAGGAACGGCCGGCGATCCGTCGGCAGCGAGCCTTCGTAGAGCGACGAGGGCATGATGATGTTGGGCGTCACGGCGAGCGCGGTGGTGAGCTTGGACCCCTTGACCGCGCGGCTTGGCTTGCGGAGCGTGCGGGGACGCATGCTTGGTGTCGCAGCACGCGACGACGTGGCGGCATTCGAGAGCGGACGCTGGAACGGAAAGTAGACGTGGGGCACGCCATAGCCCGCAAACCGTTGGTCGTACTCGTACACGGGGAGGTCGTCGCCGCGTGCATCGAGTCCCATGACGTCGCCTTCGTTGCCAAACAAGACAGATCTACGCTGCACTCGAGTCATAAAGTGCAGAGGGAGAGGGTATACCGCATCGGTGTGTGCCGGCTTGGCGGCTTGGACCGCGACACGACGGTGCGGGGCCGTCGAGCAGCGGCCGCCGTCGTCGTCGTTCTGCGGTCTTCTTGCTGATTCATCGAAGTCACGGGGCTGCTCGGTCGCACATCGGCTGTGATCTTGCGCTTCCGCAACTTGACGGGCGCGGTAAGCACGAGGAGCTCCGAGTGCAGCGAAACGAGGTGACCGAGCCCGGTGCTCGTCGTCGGGTACGGGGCTAAAGAGCAGCGGTAGTGCGAGGCGAGAGCGCCACGACAGTACCTTCCATGAGCATCGAGATGACGAGACAGCAGTTGACATGGATCTTGCGCGTGTCCATGGACGAGGCCTTCTTGGCATGGCGGCAGTGGTTGACGATCTGCAGGAGCGCGTCGACCAAGACGTCCGAGTCCAGCTTGAGCTGCCGCTTGAGGCTCGCGTCGCGCTCCATGAGCAGCCCCAGCGTACGCGCTGCCATGGCTAGTCCAAGGTACATGGGATGCGCTTCGGAGAACGTACAGTACCGCGGGTGAGCATCGGGTTGGCTTGGTTGCGCAGGATACCGATCGCGTCGTTGACGAACGACGGCCGGCCTTGCAAGACCGCGTCGTCGACGTCCACGCGCAGCTGCTTGGCGCAGCCCGCGATCCATGCCACGTCTTCTTCCGGCGACGGCTGCTCCCTCGGCGTCGGCCGCTTTCGCCCCGCCATCGCCAAAGATACCGTGGCCTTTCACCCAGGCTAAAAACACGCTCACTGCGGTGCCATATAGCAATCTACCAGACAAAAATGGCCAAAGCTGCACCATCTGAAGACGTACATCACTGCGCAAGATGCTTGACATAGTGTACTTTCTCTGAAGTCCATGCGAGATCGCACCGCGTCGTCGTCTATGGCCGGGTGGACCCCAAAGTTGCGTGCGCTCAGTCGCGAGACAAGTGTTTTAAACGATAAACATCAACTATGGAATCGGTACAAGTGATTAAAACGTTTTCGTTTTCGATTGACACAAGATTTGACAAAGCGAGCATGCTTGCCGAACTTGAGCAGCGCGTTCAGACGTGGAAGGTGCAGTGGGCCTCCGAGATCCTCCCAGGTCTCTGGCTCGGCAGCGGCAGCGCAGCCTCCAAGCTTGAGTCGCTGCAGCGCCAGCGCATCACCCACGTGCTCAACGTCGCGGACGACGTGCCCAACTTCCATCCCAACGCGTTCCTTTACGGCAACCTCGGCGTCACCGACTTTGGCCAGGACGTCGGCATCCGCCGTGTCTTTCCGACAGCATTCGCCTTCCTCGACGACGCTTTGGCCCACGACGACGGACGCGTCTTGGTGCACTGCGCAGCGGGTGCGAATCGGTCTGCCACCGTCGTTCTCGCCTACCTCATGCACGCCAGAGAGATGTCGCTGGCCGATGCGTGGGCCCATGTGCGCAGCCGCCGCCGAGGCATCTGTCCGCTCCGAGACAACCGCCAGGAGCTCTTGGCGTTCGAGCTGGAGCTACTAGGATGCAACTCGTTCCCGTCGCTCGACGCCTTTCTTCAAATGCGATGAATTGAGTGCTCGCTAGCTCAGAGGTGAGCCAGCGAACTTTATGTACCCCTGCGCTGGCTTTGGCGACGCGCACTTGTCGCTGCCCATCTTGGCTTCTGTCTTTGCCAGAACCCCTCTCAAAGTCGCTAGTGACGAGCTCGGGCACACCGCGAAGTATCAACTTGATACTAGATCATATGATCGTATATAAACTATCAGCTAGCAGAATAAATAGAGGCGCCATGTGGTGGCCCTCATGTCGAGAAGAGCGACGGACCCTCAAAGCTAAAGCCGTGGAAGCGGTCACATGCGTGGTGGGACGCTTGGTTGTCGTCGTCTTCGTGCTCCCACGGGTCCACGATCGCGCTCGTATACTCGTTTTCAAAGTTGCGCGCATCGTCAATGCACGAAGGGTCTTCGCACGGGTCCAGCGGCGCCGTGAGCTCGCCATAGCTGAGTGCGACCCAGTCGATCGTCGCAAAGAACGGGTGGCTCTTGATGTCGAGCGCGCCGTGGCCGGATCCGAGGCGCTGGCTCGGGTCGGCCACGAGAAGGTTCCGGATGAGGTGGCGCGCCGACGGCGACACGTACGCAGGGAACGCAAGCGGGGCGGCGCGGATCGACGGCAGCTGCTCGAACGTTGGCGGCTCGTCCGTGTACCACGGCGGGAGACCCGTGAGCATCTCGTAGAGGACGATGCCGAGAGCGAACCAGTCGACGGCCGTGCCGTACCCGTTGCGGTTGTTGCCTTCGTAGACCTCGGGCGCGAGGTACTCGAAGCTGCCGCACATGGTCTTGGTGCCCCGCGTCGCCTCGAGGATGCCAAACTTGGCCAGGCCAAAGTCCACGAGCTTGACGTGGCCGTCCGCGCTGAGCAAGAGGTTCTCGGGCTTGAGGTCGCGGTACGCAATGCCGTGGCGGTGGAGATGCTCGAGCGCCAAGACGATCTCGGCGGCGTAAAACATGGCGATCGGCTGGACGAATCGGACAAACGCTTGGATCTGCGTCGCGAGCTCGCCACCGGGGCAGTACTCCATGACGAGGAAGAGACTGGATTGCGACTGGAATGCATAGTGCAGATGCACGAGGCCCCTGTGCGCGGTGCCGCCAAGCACATCCCGCTCGGACCAGATCTGGTCCGCGCTCACACCGGCTTTCGACACGATCTTCATTGCATAGAGGCTGCCCGTCGCCTTCTTGCGCACGAGGAGGACCTTGCCCATGGAGCCGGCGCCAATGAGCTTGATGGTTTCAAAGTCGTGGACGCCCACGTCGTTGCTGCCATGCACGCACGACGACGCCGTCGACGTACTCGAGAGCGTGCTCGGCGACCGCGGCGCGTGGCGGACCATGTGCACCACGTCGTCTTCGCTCTCAAGCGCGACCTTCTCGACGACCCGGCGCTTGGTGCCATCGCTCGTGAAGACGCTCTGCAGCTCCATGACATGCCTCCGCCGACCCGGCGACGAGGCGGTCGTGCCCATGGTTGCCGGCAATGAATTGCAGAATGATCGCAATTGGTCACGAGACAACCACGAGGGTTTTGATTGGCCCGCGGGCCCCGGACCGAAAAACACGCCGGGCGACATCCGGATAAACAAGCAATGCCGGCATTGGATTGGCTACAATGCGGTGTGACAACGCGCGTGTCGTGGGTTGTCGGGATGTACGGCCAATGTACGGCCAATGTACGAAACGCGGGCGGTGGAAGATCCAACGACAACCAGCGAGTCGACTTCTTGGAACGCTTGGAAGATGGCGCAGACCATCTGGGGCGTTCTGTGCGAGGTCGACACGGATTTGTCTGCGTTGTCTCTGACGACGCTACGGAGGAATTCAGTCTTTTCCATCGCCGGTTGTGCGATGTACGAGGAGTACAGTGTAGTAGCCGTGGAAGCGATAGGACACACATCCACAACGGGGATATCTTCCCTGGCATCCACAGTACTCGCTCCAAGGTTGCCGACCTAGCATTCTCAAGAAGATGCGTCTCCTTGAAAGGTTGCTTCCGAAATCATTGAGCGCAGCATCGGCCGAGTGTTGGCAGAGCTGTTGGCGGAGCTGCGAAAATCCCTCGACGGTTGAAATTGCTCGCGATCGTCACGATTCAGTGCGTTGCGGCTCGTGCTGGAAGCTGCTGCTGATGCACTGGAGCTTACAACGATGCTTCGCACGTCTTTACTATAGCACGGGTACCATTGGCCCTTGACAATGAACACACAGAGCACCGAGTGCATCCAGGAGTGCATCATTCCTTCCGTGTCTGCCATTAACGAGGTCCTTCCACGGATTGTTCCACGACGCTTCGAGCCTTCTTCCAAGCCGCACCAGTATCATAACCGGGAAGGCAGCACTAACCGGTAACAAGGTTTTCAAGAAGCGTTGCCGATTGAGCCGGCTAGGTAGCTTTGCCGGTTGGGTTGGAACTAGCCACGGTCCGGCTCGAACCGTGGAGCCGACGGCTCAATCGGTTTTGCTCCGGTTCAGGCTCTATTTTCTACGCCGAAGCCAAACCGGACCGAGCCGGACCATGGAGAGTCCAACTTTAAACTTCCATGGATTGAAAATGAGAAAAGCCACCTTAACTGGACAGGACAAGGACATCATGATTTGTAGCTTCTGCAGTCGAGAGTATCAGGAAAAGAGGGACCTCCCTTGGTACAGTAGCGGCCCTCGACCTGCGAGTCGGGCGCGCATCCAATACTACACGTACCCGGTATGCGATGCGCACGGACATTTGTTGAGGCGAACTCAAGGGCAGCGGTGGTCAATTGCGGAGGTCGTGCGTCGCGTCCCGTTACCGATGCCAGCGCTCTGTCGGAGCAAACCCATTTCAACGAGGCAGCGCTGCCAAGAGATGCTGCGATGGGTGTCCTTCAAGACGGCCTTTCTGGTTCTTGGCGCGTGCTATCCACATTGCGCTAAAGACCGTATGATTGTATATGGTCCACATCTCCATATTCTATTCGATGTCTATATAATCTATCCACTAATTCTTATCTATGGATCTATGTATCACTCAGAACGTGGGACGTATCCATATATCACTTTGACGTGGACAAAGCGGCGGTTCCCACCCGCGAAGAGCCACTTCAACTTCCCACGTCCACTTTGCACAGACAGGGTGTGTCTGAGCCCAAACCCGCGTCCCACGCGTGCTTGGGTACCAGGATCGACGTCATTGCACAACTCGCACGACGATGTTCAAGTCGCTCTTCGCCTTTGCGACGCTAGCGCTCATTGCCAGCATCGCCAACATCTCGTTCACGCCCGTTGGCGTCAGCGCCGGCTCCTACGGCCACCGTCGCGGCGTCAACCTCGGCGGCTGGCTCGTCCTCGAGCGCTGGATCACGCCCGACTCGCCGATTTACACCGAGTCGGGTCTCACCGGCGACGTCGTCGAGAATGGCCAGTACCAGATCATGAAGGCGCTCGGCCACGCCCGCGGCGACCCGCTCATGGAGCGCCACTGGGCCACCTTCTACACGGAAGCCGATTTTCGCGACATCAAGGCCGCCGGCCTCGACATGGTGCGCATCCCGGTCGGGTACTGGCTCTTGAATGACGCGCCGGCGACCAAGGCTCGGCGCTCGGCGAATGGCACCACGACCGACGACGCGTCCGTGCTCGCGCCGGGCTCGCTCGCGTTTCTGGACAAGGCGTTCCGCTGGGCGCGCAAGTACCAGCTCAAGGTCCTCGTCGGTGTCCACGCTGCGATGGGGTCTCAGAACGGCGAGCAGCACAGCGCGGCGTCGAGTATCCGCAAGATCCAGTGGTTCGACAAGGCCGGCAACATTGACAACACGCTCGACCTCGTCGAGTTCCTCGTGGACCGGTACCAGTACCACGCGGCGTTCCTCGGTATCGGGCTTCTCAACGAGCCGCAGCACGGCAACGACCCGACCAAGTTTGCGCAGCTCAAGCAGTACTACAAGGACGCACACCGCATCATCCGCCGCGAGCTCGGCTCGGACTGCATCATTACGTTCTCGACCGCGTTCAACGAGAAGCCCGAGTTTGACGCCGAGTGGCGCGTCTTCCTCAAGCACGACCCGAACGTGTGGGCCGAGGTGCACAAGTACTACATCTGGGGCTTTGAGGGCCAGAATTTCGACCAGATCAAGGCGTACGTCAAGGGCCACGAGGCGCAGTGGATCAAGGAGTGGACTGGCGCGCCGCTCTTCTTTGGCGAGTGGTCGATCGCCAACCACGAAGACACGTTTGTGCTCAGTGACGCGCAAAAGACGCAGTACGCCAACCTCGTCACCCAGGTCTTCAAGCCTGCGCACTGGACGTACTGGACGTGGAAGTTCTGGGCCGACCCCAACGCGTACGTCGCGTGGAACATGAAGACGCTCTTCCAGCGCAAGATCATGACCACCACCATGCTCGGCAACTAGTCTACCATGGCAGTTGTAATGTCTCGTTGATGCATTATTCGAGTTCTTGTCGTTGATGGTACTATGGACTCTGCGACGACGTGGTGGAGAGAGGAATCATGGAAAAGAACTACCGGTACATTCGACAAAGAGACAAAAATGTAAAGTTGAAGGCCACGATTAAATAAAGCACATGGACGTGTCAAGGTCCATGACGTCGTCGCCAAGCTGGCAGGCATGAACCACCTCTTGCAAGCGACTACTGACTTTGACCTGCTTCATCTGAGACGTCTCGAGCTCCGCCTCAAGCTGCGCGTTCTTGGCCTGAAGCTGCGCGTCTTTGGCCTCGACCCGCGCGTACTTGGCCTGAAGCTGCGCGTACTTGGCCTCGAGCTGCGCATTCTTCATTTGGACCTTTTCGAGCGCCTGTTTGAGTTGCCGGTTCTCGTTTTCGGCGGTGTTTGCATAGTCAAGCGCGTCGCGAACCAAAGTCTTCGCGTCGACGAGTTTGTTGTAGCGCGCAATCAACGTCTCAGAGGAGATCGCTATGAGGTAGGACATGTTAGACGAAACCTCCACGGCAATTGATTTGTACGTGCCAATACGAAATGGGTCGTCATCAGTCCCTTGGCCATACACATTTTCGTCCAGTGTCGCAGAATCGTGCCCGGACAGGAAGCCCATCGTGGGCGGACCATCCTCGAGGTCGGACTCTGAGGATACGTATCGCTCTTCCAAACACCAGTCGAGCTCTTCCTCGTCCTCGATATGGTGCAGAATATCCTTCTTCACTTGCTGCACAGCGTATCGAACTTGCCCCGCAGTGAGGTAGGGCATGTCTTGAAATTTGCCATTGGCTGTCTGGTCGTGGAGTTCCACGAGCACGGCCCCTGGTTTGGCCGAGTGGTTGTGGTTGAGCATCTCACGAATGGCCTCTTTGTGGGCCTTGTACACCTAGGAAGAGCATTACCGCGCAACACACCCACAAGCAATTCCTACCTTTGCCTTTGGCGGCGACCGCGGGACAGAGTCGTCGGTCGGGTCGTGCTTGTGCTGGAATTGTGCGTATATCGCCGACTCCGATGTCCGCTGACATGTGTCGATACGGTACCGACCCTCGCAGCCGTTCCCGTTGCGCTTTTTCACGACGGGGATTCCTCGACGAATCTCCTCATCGACCGCCGCCTCGCACCGCTCGGATTGGCACCGGGTGTATCGACGAGTCATGCAGTGGGGTGGCATGGCAGGCGTACCGGCGCCGTGGACACCATTGCACCTGAGCCCACCCCCGTGTGTTGTGGTGTTGGTGCGGTCGAACGCAAACTTGGGGAGGGCGTGCAGACGACTCCAGGTTGTATGCTCGTCCGCGCAGCGATGAAGCAGTTTGCTTGGTTCACGCGGAACGCGAGCCGACTTCGTCACCTTGTTGCTATCCCCGGAGGCTCTTGGCACCTTCTTAGGTGCACTCGATCCCTTGGATGTCTTGGGCTTAGGCGAGCTCGACGACCGCGGCTGCATCGGCTTCACCGGGGCCATTGGGACCAAGCCGTTCTGAAACTTATTTCCCAGCTCCGCGCTATTCTTCCATAAATGCTGTGGTTAACCTTTCTAACTGTAAACACACGACCTTTAGCGTTGTTTTGTGTGTTTCGCGCCACGTTTAAACTGCCTCGCCGAACTATTCTTCTTCTATTTTTGTTTGTGTGTTCTCCATTGCTTTTGTGCGTTTGACCCTTTTATTTGTGTGTTTTATTCAGGCTATCTCGACAAAGAGACAAAGAACGTACAGTTAAAGTCTTCTTAGACACGATTAAATAAAGCACATGGACATATCAAGGTCCATGACGTCGTCGCCAAGCTGGCAGGCATAAACGACCTCTTGCAAGCGACTACTGACTTTGACCTGCTTCATCTGGGACGTCTCGAGCTCCGCCTCGAGCTGCGCGTTCTTGGCCTGAAGCTGCGCATTCTTCATTTGGACCTTCTCAAGTGCCTGTTTGAGTTGCCGGTTCTCGTTTTCGGCGGTGTTTGCATAGTCAAGCGCGTCGCGAACCAAAGTCTTCGCTTCGACGACCAACGCTCTGGTTAACGACGCTTCACGAACAGCGGCCTCGTCCACGAGGCTCTGGTTTGTCGTCGTCGGTGGGCCCGTCGGTGCGTCGTCCCTAAATCGCATGAGTGCTCATTTAACGCGAGGAGCATGTACGAACGTTTGGTTTGTCGCGGGTGCACTCCGCTTCTGCACCTCTTGCGTGTTGCATTGCTGCGGCTCGTAGTGCGCCGCATACTCCTTGATGCGTCTGCGGATGGCAATGAGCCTACGCGAGCATGAGCCTCTGTTTTGGCCTAGCGGTGCCGGACTTGTTGTGAAAGGCTGCAAACACAGCGTTTTCGTTGCTGGAGCCGGCGGCCTTCGCTTTGCACGCCTCGACGAGTTCGACGAGAATGGCCCACTGGTGCTGCGTGCACTGCTTTTCCAGAACGTGTCGCACGACTAGAAGGTCCTTGGTCGAGATGTTGGCCGGCCGGGGGTTGCCGGGTCGAATGATCTGCTCCCGTCCTGTCCGACGCGCATGCTGTTGACGGTCGTCACGACTAGGGGCAGGATGAGATGGTGCATAGAAGGATGCGTGGCTCACTTCTCTGCACCGGGAAGACCTTGATGAGCACGTTGTCGAACGCCACATGCAGCTGAGCGATCAGAGCGTTCGTGTCCGACAGGCGAGGTCCGTTGCCTTTGGCCGTATGCGTAGTAGCCAGGACCGCAAGCGCGTAGTACTTGAGCTCCTTGCCCAGATGTACGAGGTATGCGGCGTGCTGCAGCATCGCGTTGTGCGCGGTGGCGGTGGCCTCCTGATGCTGGATCGGCGGCAGGCCGGCGGATCGCTGCATTGGAGCGGCTTGGCGTCCGGCGGCAAACTCTGGAATGACCAGCTGCCACGACGTACATACAAATTTCAAGATTATCACAAAGATCCATTGGCATCTAAAAATAGAACGCTCGAGCATCGCAACGACCATCGATAGTCGCAGGGTCGAGCAGCAACTACAGCGGAAGGGTCTCGATATGCATAGCTACAGTAGAGGAGGTCGTACTGTGGCTGCAGACGCGGAGGTCGTCAAAGGCGCACGTGACAAGCCGACGCCTTCCTCGGCTTAGCTCATAGATGGCAAACTTGGAAATGAACTTGGAAATGAACGCCAACAGCCGATGAGTATCCATTCTCTGGGCCACCAGGATTCGTTCTTACAGGTTTGCTGTTCCCTTGTCGGAGGGAACCCTCTTGGGACGTCTTGGGTCTTGGAATGTGAACGAGTTTCCGAACGGCAAGCATTGATTGGTTGAATGAATCTAATTGAACAAATCACAGCACGCCGAGGATACTTATCAAGCCAATGGCATCGCTCAAGCAAATCATAATTCGTAATTCGGGCATTGTACAGCGTTGGTCGTCGAAGCGAAGACTGTGGTTCGCGACACACAGGCCAAAGTCAGTAGTCGCTTGCAAGAGGTGGTTCATGCCTGCCAGCTTGGCGACGACGTCATGGACCTTGACACGTCCATGTGCTTTATTTAATCGTGGCCTTCAACTTTACATTTTTGTCTCTTTGTCGAATGTACCGGTAGTTCTTTTCTATGGTCCCTCTCTCTCCAACGCCATTGCAGTGTCCATAGAACCATCAAGTACAAGAACGAGAATGCATCAACGAGACATTACAACTGCCCTGGTAGTTTAGTTGCCGAGCATGGTGGCGGTCATGATCTTGCGCTGGAAGAGCGTCTTCATGTTCCACGCGACGTACGCGTTGGGGTCGGCCCAGAACTTCCACGTCCAGTACGTCCAGTGCGCGGGCTTGAAGACCTGGGTGACGAGGTTGGCGTACTGCGTCTTTTGCGCGTCATTGAGCACAAACGTGTCTTCGTGGTTGGCGATCGACCACTCGCCAAAGAAGAGCGGCGCGCCAGTCCACTCCTTGATCCACTTGGCTTCGTGGCCCTTGACGTACGCCTTGATCTGGTCGAAATTCTGGCCCTCGTAGCCCCAGATGTAGTACTTGTGCACCTCGGCCCACACGTTCGGGTCGTGCTTGAGGAAGACGCGCCACTCGGCGTCAAACTCGGGCTTCTCGTTGAACGCGGTCGAGAACGTAATGATGCAGTCCGAGCCGAGCTCGCGGCGGATGATGCGGTGTGCGTCCTTGTAGTACTGCTTGAGCTGCGCAAACTTGGTCGGGTCGTTGCCGTGCTGCGGCTCGTTGAGAAGACCGATGCCGAGGAACGCCGCGTGGTACTGGTACCGGTCCACGAGGAACTCGACGAGGTCGAGCGTGTTGTCAATGTTGCCGGCCTTGTCGAACCACTGGATCTTGCGGATACTTGACGCCGCGCTGTGCTGCTCGCCGTTCTGAGACCCCATCGCAGCGTGGACTCCGACGAGGACCTTGAGCTGGTGCTTGCGCGCCCAGCGGAACGCCTTGTCCAGATACGCGAGCGAGCCCGGCGCGAGCACGGACGCGTCGTCGGTCGTGGTGCCATTCGCCGAGCGCCGAGCCTTGGTCGCCGGCGCGTCATTCAAGAGCCAGTACCCGACCGGGATGCGCACCATGTCGAGGCCGGCGGCCTTGATGTCGCGAAAGTCGGCTTCCGTGTAGAAGGTGGCCCAGTGGCGCTCCATGAGCGGGTCGCCGCGGGCGTGGCCGAGCGCCTTCATGATCTGGTACTGGCCGTGCTCGACGACGTCGCCGGTGAGACCCGACTCGGTGTAAATCGGCGAGTCGGGCGTGATCCAGCGCTCGAGGACGAGCCAGCCGCCGAGGTTGACGCCGCGACGTGCCATGAGTAAAATGACAGCTTGCCACGCCATTCCGGATAGGATCCGGATGCGACTTGGACCTTGGCGTTTGGTTGTGAAATAGTGTTACCTAGGCTCTAGCTGGTAGCTGCGGTTGCTGCTTTTGTGTATGGCAGGATCGAGCGAGGACAGGACAGTGTCGTACGTTGGACATTTGATAGACGTCTCGTATCGTTGTCGCGTTGTCTGTAGTTTCGGTGCCTTACATAGTCGTCGGGCGGACCAGAGATACCGTGTGCAATCGGAATAGGTACACTATTTTCCGTACGACGTTACTATTTGCACCCGACAGTTGAAGGCGGCGATGGCCGACGCAGGTGGGCCGTGGCGGCTCATGTCGTCGCTGCGGAAGCGCAAGTTCTTTGAAGAAGCTAACAAGTTGTACCCGCTGCGTCCACCGAACGGCCAGCCCAAGACGGACCTTTTTGACTTTCTGTTGGCCACCTTGGGGCGGCCCCACAACGACACGAGCTTCGGCTGCATGCTCGACCCACCCGACGACTTTGTCGCCGAGACACGCCCCGAGACAGAAGCCACGCCACGGCCAGTGGTACTGCACAACTCGGACATGGTGCCAGAGACGCGCTGCTCCGACGAGCCGGCGGCGGTCGTCGCCGACGATAGCATCGTGCCCGAGACCCGCTTTTCCGATGACGGCGGACGAAACCACGACAACGAGATTGTGCCCGAGACGGTCGACGTCGCGCCGACCATACGCGAGAGCATCGGTGGCGCTGATGCGCTGCACGAGTCGATCTCGTCGTCGTCGTCGTACGCCGCGTCCGTGACCTTTGGCGGTCCCAACGACATGAGCTTGAACTCGAGCTCGCATAGCTGCGCGACGCTCGACGACAGCTTTGCGGCGTTTCCATCCGCGCACCTGCCGCCGCCGACGCCGCCGACCGAGACGCTGCGATCCCCGACACCGCTCACGCAAGCCGTCGCGACGTTGCCGCTGGTCGACTACTTTGACACGGACCACTACACGGAGCTCGTGCCGTGCTACGTGCTCTACGCGGTGCACTGCAACCTTCACGACGCACATTTGTCGCACCCGCATTTGCTCTTCTGCGTCCAAGCACGTCCGCCTTGATATCGATATGGCCTTTCAATTGCTCATCGCGATTCTGTCGTAGGCGCTGGACCAGTTTCTCGCCTCGCAAGAGCTTATGCACGGCTACATTAGGCGGGCCAGCGAGATTGCGCGCGTTGTCTTTGCATCCCGCTGGGCGAGGCGACTCGATGCGTTCACCAAGGACATTGACATCCGCGACTACACGGAGCGCGGGCGGTCCTTGCCGGGTGTGTGTGCCCCGGTGTGGCACATCATTGCCGCGCATTGGCGCCATTACAAGGCCCACGTGCTCCACTCGGACGAGTTTTACCTCGGCGACACCACCACAATGCGGGCGGACCCCGGGGCCCACTGCCGGCACGTCACATCCGGATACTTTGCCGTCGACGGCCATCTCCGCGACGAGGCCACACGGCGCAGTGTCTATGGCGGCAGCGACGTCGGCGCGTACTACATGACGCTAATGCCCCGGGATGCCAGCAACCGGCGGCGCGACACGGACGACCTGCCGCAGCGCATGTACCTGCCGCAAGAGAGCTTGAGCTTTGCGTTCAAGCAGCTCGAAGCCAACTTGCGCGTGACCGACCCGCACGTGGCCATGTACCCCATGGGCACGTTTGCCCGCGGTGGGCTCTACGGCTCGGTCCTCGACGTCTTGGTGCTGCCGACGCCGGCGCGCCCGAGCATCCACGACGTCGTCGCAGCGCTCGAGGCGGCTCACGTCGTCGAGCCCGGCGCCGTTCGGTCGGTATCGGCGCACCGTCTCATTGCGCCGATTCGGTTCAAGCACATTCGACTGCTCCTCGACTTGAAGATGTACCCGCCGCCGATGGCGTACGCTGCGATGATCTACTTTACGGGCCCGCAAGCGTTCGCTCAGCACGCGTTCTGCTCCGTCTTGGCAGCGTGCGGCGACGACACGCGCTTCGAGACTGTCTACGAGACGCTGCAGACGATGCACGGGCCCGCGCGCCTCGCCCAAGTCCTCGACGAGCAAGACATGATGGTGCTTCTCGGCCACGCCGTGTACCAGCCGCCATTGCATCGCTTTTAGCCTCCTCGTATCAATGTAGTCTACCTCCTCCTCCTTGCGCCATGTGCCGAGAGACCATACGTGTGGACACGACACTGTATTGCAACAAGTCTACTTGGGGGGCATGCGGAGGGCGCCGTCGATGCGAATGACTTCGCCGTTGATCATCTTGTTCTCGACGATGCTCTGGACGAGCTGGGCATAGTCCTCCGGGTGGCCGAGGCGGCTCGGGAACGGCACCGTCTTACCCAACTGCTCCTGGACAGCGTCCGGAAGACCCGCGAGAAGCGGTGTACGGAACAAGCCTACGAGAAGAGTCATGAGAGGTGCGAACCAAGCGAGTTGAAGTGGCGTACCAGGCGCGATCGTGTTGCAGCGAATGCCGTAGGGCGCGAGCTCGCGCGCCACGGGCAGCGTCATGCCGACAATGGCACCCTTGGACGCAGCGTACGCGACCTGGCCGACCTGGCCTTCGTACGCGGCGATACTGGCCGTGTTGATGATAACACCGCGCTCGCCATCCGCACCCGGCGTCGTCTTGGACATGCTACGCATACCATATGATGACGCTGCATCCAACGCCGGCAAGGAAGGTATTAATACCGTTCGGCCGCAAGGCGAATCACGTTGAACGTGCCCGACGTGTTGATGTTGAGCACCTGCTGGAACTGGTACAGCGGGTGCGGGCCCTTCTTGGAAAGCGTCTTGGCCGCGACGGCAATACCGGCGCAGTTGACAGCAATGTCAATGGGCTTGCCAAACGCGGATTCGGCCAAGTCCAAGGCCGCCGAGACCTGCTCTTCGTCCGTCACCTAAGGTAGACAGCGCGTGAGGGACGCGCCGCCACGTCACACGCTACGTACATCCGTCGGGCTAAAGTGGCAGTTGGGGCCGAGCTGGCGCGCGAGCTCCTGGCCGTCGCTCGTGGGCAGGTCGCAGATGACGACCTGGGCGCCCTGCTTGAGGAGGCGCTCGGCGGTCGCGCGGCCAAGGCCGGACGCGGCGCCCGTGACAAGTGCGACGCGGCGAGCAAGGGCCATGGCGAACTTCGACGAAGATATCGGAATGAGACTTGCACTTGAACTAACGTGCGGTTTGGGGTCGCGCGGAATACAATTCGGATGCGGCATATTTTAAAAGCCCTTTTCGTAGTCTTTGCGGAAGGTTTCCATGTAATTTAATACATTTTGCCGCGGCTTTTTTTACAAATTGAAGTCATTATCTATGGACCAATCTTGCGCCCGATAGGCAATCCAATAAAAAGATTGTATTTTTATTCACACCATTGCGATCATCGTTATACTATTATTCTGCAGCCCCGAATAAGACCTTGATTATTGTATGCAATGGCGATCGATGGCATAAAACCCAATAGCATTCAATACATGGATGGAATAAAAAAGCGACCAATTCAATGGCCGCCAATACTGCGGTTGATAATTGGCCGAAGTTTGGAGGAGGAGTTGTGAGGATGGAGCACGAAGCGAGTCCCGCGACGTCCGGCCACGGCAGCGCCCATCCCGCCTCGAACTCGTACTCGTCCGCGCCCCACCGGCGCTACCATGGCGGCCATGACGATGGCCACACCAAGTACACGTCGCCCCGTCATAGCAATGGCCACTACGCCAAGGCCAAGGGCACGGGGTACTATGGCAGCAACAACAACGTGAACCACCACCACCAAGCGCAATACCACGCGCCCATGAACATGAACGGTGGGCGGTACTATAACGCGCATGTCCAGCCGCCGCTTCCGCCATTGCCGCCGGGCGCGTCGATGCCACCGCCATCGCCGTCGCCGTCGAGCGCCTCGACCGATACGACCGCCGCGTCACCGTCACATGTAGACGCCATCAAGTGCAATCGATGCGGCGAGAGAGGGCACGTGGCGGCGGCATGCCCGCTCAAGCCGCGCCACAGCTACAACAAGGGGCCTCGCGTGTGCAAGTTTTGGGCGAATGGCCACTGCCAGCGCGGCAACGACTGCTCGTCTTCCACGGCAACCCGGACCAAGCGATGATGTACGGCGCGCCGACCGGCATGATGATGCAGATGCCGCCGCCCCAGTACATGATGGACCCGGCCGCTGCCGGCTACTACTACCCCCCTGTGCCCATCATGCCCGCGGGCTACCCGCCAGCTGCAGCACCGTACGAACCGCCGCCGACGTCCGAGACGCCGCCGCCCGAAGGCGAGATGTACGACCCGGCTGGCTACCCCAACGACGCGTACGTTGAGCCGCCATATGGCGCGCCGCCGGTGTACCACAACCCGTACGCACCGCCCCCGTACGCTCCGTACGGCCCGCCGCAAGGTGGCTACCCAGGTACGACCCACTCCACAGCAGAGAGAAGTTAACCTTTCACCAAGACCAACGCGCGTACTACCCGCCGCCACCGCACAAGATGTACCCGCCGCAACAACACGGCAACTTTTACAACCCGTACTACCCTCGCATTAACGTCGCGCCGCCGGCAGCCTACCCGACCGCTGATCCCGTCGACGCTCCGGTTGTCGACACGCACGACGAGGCGCCATTGTATGACGCGCCGCCGACCGCAGCACCCGAAGAGAGCCCTGCCCAAGTGATCGATCCAGTGTACGTGGCGTCGGCCCTATCGCGTCGCATCTGACACATGGCGATAGACCGACGTCGGTGGCGCCCGAGATGGTGCCGGAAGATGAGCCGCTTGTCGAGGCGGTGGAGCATCTCAAGCTCGAGACCACGCCCAAGCCAAAGAAGAAGAAGAAATCCAAGGCGCGTGCCGAGACCGCGCCATTGGAGGCATTGCCGGCCGTGCAACCGCCGCTCTTAGAGAAGGGTCTTCGCAACGAGACGGGCGAGAACAACTGCTTTCTGAACGTCGTCGTGCAGTCGCTCTTCCATCTGCAGGTAGGCGGCGACGCGTCTAAGTCTCTATTCGTTGACTTATACGTCTAGACGTTTCGCGATGCGTTCGGCGCGATCACGCGCCACGCCTGCCCTGGCGACGGTCGCTGTGTCTTTTGTGCGCTCGCGACGGTCTTTGAGATGCTGACGCCAGGCGACAAGATAGCGACGACGACCTGCCACTCGGACGCACTGCGCGCTGTGCTGAGCACGCTCTCCGCGTCGTCGGCTGCTAACGTGTCGCTGCCGCCGCCGGGCGAAGGGCCCAACCGGTTCTCGCTTGGCTCGATGGACGACGCGGCCGAGGCCCATGACGCCGTTCTCTGGCAGCTCCACGAAGCGCTCAAGACATCGACCAAGACGCAAGATTGCACGTGCGTGATCCACCGCGTGTTTGGCTTGCTCGTCGGCGAAGAGGCGCACTGCCCCAAGTGCCACACCAAGATGACGGCGGCCACATACGACACGATGGTCATGGCGGCGTCGACCGCCCAGTTGCACGACCACATTGTGTCGGTTCCACTATCGCATGTGGCCGATCTCATACCGTGTCGCGTAGGCGCAAGAAGGCGCGGACCTTTGACAAGCTCTTGGCGCACGTCGTGGCGATCGGCGGCGGCACGCGCAAGTGCGCGAACTCGAGGTGCCGCAACACGGATCTGCTGCCGTCGAGTCTCAAGCTCAAGGCCGTGCCGCAGGTGTTTACGGTCGGCCTCTCGTGGCCCAACGCGCAGCCGAGCTCGGGCTACTTGGGACACATTGTCTCTAGCATTGCGCCGACGATCGACCTGACGCGGTACCGTTCTGGAACGATCGCGTAGGGTATCTCACACACGTATTTCTAGCGTGTTTCCCAACCTGATTGCCGACGGTCTGGCGCTGCCCCACGGCGGCGGCAACGACGCGCACCTCATGGGCGTCTTCTGCTACTTTGGGCACCACTACCTCACGTTCCTCTTCAAGCCGTCGACGCACGAGTGGCTCTCGTTTGACGACACGGTCGTCAAGCGCGTCGGGTCGTCGTGGAGCGATGTGCAGAAAGTGTGCTTGGAGGTACGACGACGGCGACTCTCGGTGGGTGCAATGAACTCGTCTCTAGAACCATTTGCAGCCCATGGTCCTCTTCTACGACGTGGCCAAGAAGCCGTTGGTGGCGGACAAGGTGCTGCAGTTTACGATCGGCGACTTTGTCCTCTCGGTCGCGTCCGAAGTCGACCAAGAGAATTGGCGCGCGACGGACGGCAGCCCGCCAACGGACAACGACTCGCCTCTGTACACGTAGAAGACGCCCCTAGACACACGCCTGCCGGCACCGAGATTATATTTATATCACACCACATTTAGTCTAGGTACCCGCATGGTAATCGCCGTACAATGCATGCTCATCGCCCACGACCTCTCTCTCTATTTGCGCATGCGTGGTCGGTGCATCGCGTGGCAGCCCCGATGTTGTTGGCGCATGCAGCATGGCCGACGACGCTTCTTCTTGCTGATCGTCTACAATGTACCTCGGATTTGTCGTCGACGTGAGAGCGTGCTAAGCTGTGCACCACAAACGGTCCGTGGCGGGCCACCGTGCAACGCGTGGCCGGGCGTGGCGGTCGTGCACAGCACTGAGACGAGCGGTTGCGCGGTGGCCGAGGCAGGGCTTTGGCAACCCCGGACGCATGGCGATAGCCCATCGCGATCGCTGCGCGCATGCGCTTGGCCTACGCCACCACGCTGTAGCGATCCGTAGCATGCATGGTCGATGGCCTTCCGGCTGGCTGTCGAGGCGCGCCGCCCCGTCGCTCGGCTCGCATGAACGTCATTCACGAGCGTCAGCAGCTGGTCCTAATTCGGGCCAGGTGGCCTTCGATAAGGGCGATCTAGAAACGTCGGCCTTCTTCCGCCGGAAAAAGAACAAGCTTTGGCGGCATGGCCAATCAAAGGCGAGTTGTGCTATAATTTCAGCCAATCGGAAGCGAGTCGCTTTCGACCTTGCAGTGAAACGACCCAGAGCCATTGTGAGATCAGGACGAAGCTCAATGGCCCGCCGACTTGCGAAGGTCCGTGGACGCCGAGAGACCGATGGCTCATGCGCCCGCGTCGTGTAGGAGCTTGCCGAGTTCAACAAGAACTCGCCCGACTGGTGCACCGTGGGCACGGTCGACGACGACCTCTTGCACTGGAACGCTATGGTCGTCGGCCCCGTACGTGCCATCGCCGGCGGCGCCGCATAGCCTCATGCAGCCGCCGATGTAGGACAACTCGCCGTATGCGGGCGGCGTCTTCAGCATCGACCTGCTCTTTCCCGCCGAGTACCCGTTCAAGGCGCCCAAGGTACGCTGCCCTTGAACACACGGACGCAAATCATCGAACTCGTCTGCAGGTCAAGTTCCTCACGCGCGTGTACCACCCCAACGTCAAGTCGCAGAGCGGCGAAATTTGCGCGGACGTTATCAACGAGGTTGGCTGCTTTGTTCGATACTAAGCTCATGGCGCGTGGTCTAGAACTGGGGCCCGACGTTGAACGTCATGTTTTGCCTCACGGCGCTCAAGCAGATTCTCGAGCAGCCGGACGGTGACAACCCGCTCGAGCCCGAGATTGCCAAGCAGCTGCAGTGCAACCGAGACGCGTTCAACGAGACGGCCAAGAAGTGGACAAAGGACTTTGCCTCGTAGCTGCGACTTGCTGCTCTCTATCCCTAGTCTATGCATCCATTCTTTGATTGCATCCCGTCGACGGCGCGACGTGTGTTAATATACACAGTTGCAGTCGCTTCTTGGCTCGTCTCTCTTGCAGGCGTAGCTTGGCTCGTCTCTCTTGCAGGCGTAGCTTGGCTCGTCTCTCTTGCAGGCGTAGCTTGGCGTTAACGTTACGAAGAGCGACGCTGCGCAAGCATCGTCTATGCGCCGACCGCTACATAGCTTCGCCGCCGCACCCTCTGCGCCCAGTCGCGCAAGCCTTTCGCCGCATGACAAGAAACGGTCCTCGGACCCGCGTGCATGGCTCGGCTCCGCGCTGCGCGTCCCGCGGTCGCGATCTATCGGCTTGGTCGCTCGGCCCGCTCTCTACCCCGCCGTTTGCGACATGTGCGAATCCTTGTTTCAAAATCAACTTGTTGTTTGTATCGGTACACACCGCTCGTGTCCTAATTCTATTGACATTCGGCATTGGCGCCCTTGTTTGAGGCGTCGTGCTTGGCGCCGTCATTACGCGTAATTGGCCATGGCCCTCGAGTCCAAGGCGACGATGGACGACGACGTGGCGGCGACGCCCGCCGGCGGCCTTCACGGCAGCACCGTCTCCACGTACGCGACGACGTTCCAGCCGCCCGAGTGGTACGATGCATCATGCGTGAAGGCAGCCTATACCGACTGCCTGCGCGACTAGGGCGGTGCCACCTCCAGAGAAGAGCATCGCCGCACGCTTCGAGGTCCTGCGCATGAACAAGAACGTGGGCACGCACGAGCTGGGCGGACGCCAAGTCACGGTCTTTGGCCGCGAGCAGAACGGCTGCGACTTTGTCTTGGCCAACCCGTCCGTCTCGCGCAAGCATGCGACCGTGATCCACTGCGCCAAAGGCGGCGTCTACGTGCGATAGCCTCCTACCTTGCGACGCCAGCTCATGCAACACGCGTAGATCGTCGACCTCATGTCGCGCCATGGCACGTTTGTCGGGAAGACCAAGATCCCGCCGCACGACCCGTACCTCTTGCACGGTACTACTACGCGACGTTGCTATCGCATCGACACACCATTGCGTGTAGAGGGCGACGTTGTGACCTTTGGCCAGAGCTGCCGGACGTACGTTCTCAAGGGCACCGACCCCACAGGCTTGAGCCAAGCGGTGAAGAAGCCGTGGCGGCTCAAGTCGCTCGTGCCCCGGTTTGGTGCCGGCAGCAGCAGCCATCCTACGCCGGCGAAGAAGCCGACGCGCAAGTACAACGACATTTGCATCAAGATGGTCAACAAGATCTGCAGCGGTACCTTCTCGCCCGAGCGGGGCGAAGAATTTGCCAACGAAGTCTCGGAACTCGACGACGACCTCGTCGATGACGTGGCAGGCCTCCTCGTCGAGAAGGTCACGCGCCAGTATGCGAACGCGACGCTCGTCATCCTGGCGCTCCTCGACGCGCACGTTGGGCTCCAAGCGTTTGAAAACAACTTGACGCCGATCGTACAAGTGTCGCAGAGCAACCTCGATGCGCGCAAGGTACCCACTTCGATCCCCGTTCGATGTTGTCGATGGAAAATGGACAGATTTTACAAGTGGTCGCCGAGGCGCGGATAGAGTCGACGAGCCGCATGGACACGCCCAACCACAGCGACGACGACGGCGGCGACGGCGACGACGACTACCGCAACGACGACTATGCTCCCCCAGATGTGAGCTACGCGCCGCCGTCGATTCCGTATGCGCCACCGGCCTCAACGTATGCGCCACCGGCCTCGACGTATGCGCCACCGGCAGCCGCCGTGTTTGCACCGCCGCCGGCGACGTCGCCGCCGCGAACGCATGCGCCGCTTCCCGCCGACGCGCCGCACTACAACGACGACGACGAAGAGGAAAAGGCCGAAGAGATGACGTCGCCGATGCCAGACCGGGCCCGCCAGCGCGTCTTGAGCAACGAAGGCAAGCGGCTCTTTGCCCAGGCCACGCACTCGCCCGTCGCGGCAGCGTCTGGCTTCAGCTTTATCACGCCGAGCAGTCCGTCGCCGGTCGCGGCCGTCTCGGCCTTTGGGTTCATCACGGCCAGCGCGGCGCCAGATGACACCGAGTATGACGACGACGAGAACGACTATGCAGATGACGACGACGACGAGTACGACGACCAAGAGGAAGACGACGACGGCTACGCGCCCGTGGAAATCCCCGAGGGCTTTCTGAGCGAGCGTAGCACGATGGACCCGCAAGACTTTTCCAATCTCTGGCAGTGCGCCACCGTCTCGTACGTCTCTGGAACCGACTGTTTGCGTGGCTGAATGATGGGTTTTGTAGGGAAGAGTGGGACCAAGACCTCTCACCCGAGTACGACGCCGACTTGCTCGAGCGCTGTCTCTGGGGCCTCCACGTGACGCTGCTTTCGACCAGCGTCGTTGGTGGCAGCCAAACGTTTTTGTACCACGCCGAACAGGTATTCTGCTCCTGCTGCTTGGTGCCGTTGGTCATTTCCCTCTCTAGATGTCGAATGGCACCATCTTCCTCGTCGAGGTTGTCGCCAACGAGACGCTCGGCGAGCTCTCGGCAACGTTCAAGTGGATCGAACTCGGCTTGCTCTACGACGACGGCCACTTGGTATTTATCCAGCTCTTTAAAGAGTGCCTCGAGCCGTGCTACACGCCCAACCACCCGCGGACACCGTACTTGCGGATGCTCGAGCCGCCACCGGCGCCGGCACCGTCGCCCGTCGCATCGGTGCACGGTACAACCACGACCGAGCACCCCTCCGCACCGACCGACAACGACAACGACAACGAGGATATCGACGATGACAGCGAGGATGGTGCGGGCGAAGAGCTGGTAATTGACGACACGGCGTCGTTCGAGGCTGCGCTCTCGACGATCCCAGAGCTCGACCCATCGACGTTTGAGGCCTTGTGGCGGGACGCCCTCGACTTGTACGACTGCTTAGCGCGCTGCCATGACCACTGAACGATGATGGATTCCTAGGGACACGATCGCCGACACGGTGGACCGGCATTTGCCGCCGGCCGCCGACGTCATTGCGCATTTTCACGCGCGGCGCGTGTTTTGCATTGCGTACGGCGCTGTCCCGAACGTCGGCGATAAATTCTTCTTTTATGCCCAAACGGTAGCACGTCGCTTCCACTCCCATTAGCTCACGCGACTGTACGTAGGCGGCGTCGCAGTGCTTGTACTTTCTCGAGCTCACGCTGGAGCGCGAATCCACGGACGTTACGGCAGTCTGCAAGTACGCGCCGACACGGACGCACCCTGTCCAGGAAGACATTGCCATTTGGTTTATCGGCCTCGTCGAAGAGATCCTCGTCGAGCTCGAGTAGTGCAACACGTGTAGAGTGCTCAGGGAGTTTATGCAAATATCACGATGGTAGTACATTGGATGGTATTACGACGGCACGGCTTCGGTGTGGTCGATGAGCGCGTGCGTCTCGGCCTGCTGCGGCTGCGGCACGATGAGCGAGTGCATTTTGGTGCCCGTGACCGACGGGTGGCGCAAGTAGCGCACGATCAGAAGCCCCCCGGCGGCGCCCCCCAGCGCAATGAACGCTACGAACGCATACAAGACGATGCTGGAGGTGGCACTTGGTGGCACGACGTCGACCACGTCGAGCGTTAGCACGTTCAGCGACGCCAAGTGACCGTTGGCAAAGAGCGCGAGCAGCTTTTGCTGCAGCACGCGGTTGCTGCCCGAAGGCTCGACGACGTCGAGGACGATGCGGACTGCCGCGCTATGGGACTTGGGGTCGGTCGTCGCACTCGCCTGCGCCATGTAGACGCCGAGCTCCATCGGTGGCAAATACGAGAGCGCGGGGTACACGCTGCCGTCGGCGCTCACGACCCGCGTCGCGTTGAGAAGCATGTACAGCGGCGAGAGGAGGTTGAACGGCACCAAGACCCCGGGGCACGGCGCCGATTCGGCGTACGCGCGATCGCAGCGCACGAGTAGACTCAGGCGGCTAAACCCGCACTTCGAGGCGTCCGAGCACTCGGCGCTGCAGTCGCGAAGGCCGTAGACACCGGTGCACTAAAACAAGGTGCGCATCGTCAAGCAACCACCGATGCATAGAAGCGTCGTACGTTGCAGCGGTGGCCGAAAAACGTCGTGGCACAGCCGTGGTTATTGGCACACGTATACTCAAAGTTGCCGGCACAGCCCGTGTCCACATCCTCGACGACAAGAGGAACACCGCCGGCGACGGCGGCGACCGACGTCGGTGCGTTGGAGGCGAGTGGAAGGCCGTTGTACGACGGGTCACTGCTCGTCACGACGTGCGTCAAAAGGAGACCGGCGTTGGTCTTTGGAATCGTGCGGGTGTAGTGTACGGTGGAGGCTTCGACGCCCTCGAAACCTGCTACATAGGACGGTGTAATCTGGACGAATTGCGGTGTCCACCAACTGGACGCTTCAAAAGTAAGCACGCCGGTCGATGCGAGCGCTGCTACGTTGGGTCGCGTGCTGCTACCGGTCGGTGTCAGCGCGACGACCACGGTCACCGGCGCCGTTGGCTGCGAGTCGAGCACGACCGAGTAGTTGAAGGGACTCGACGCGTTCTCGACGACGATCAGGGGCGCGACCGAGACCGAGATACCGGGAACGTCATCGTCGATCAGTGTCACGGCGAGCGTGAGGACCCGGCGCTGGTGCTGGGATCCGGTACGTAGGGGAAAAAGGGCCAGGCGGGGGTCCGTTGGGTGCCGTCCGAGACAATAAATGGTGTCGACGCGTACCGACACGATACAGGCAGTGGGCTACTTGTGATGCCAACGGCGGCGGGTGTTCGCGACGACTGCGGCACGACCGATGTCGCGTCGGCCGCCACCGTCGTGAACGTGACGCCCAGTGTCCGGTTGCCATGGTAGATGTTGTCGTCGACGGCAGCGATTTCGAGCACTTGGGACCGATTCCAGTTGCTAGAAACAACGATGCGATCAACCACCTACCCACCGACAATGTAGGTACCTCGCATTGAAGCGGAGCGTTGTTGGCAAGTACGCGCCGTACGACGCATGCCCATACGTGCTGCCCGTGATGTACGTGACACCGCCAGCGTTCTGCGACAGGTTCTGCGGGTTGAACGCCGTCAAGTAAGCACTGGGCATCGACACGACGACGTCGACGCCCACCGTCGGCTCGCTCAAGAGCTGCACGTTCAGAAGTGCCGGCTGTCCGCGCTGGTGCATGCGCGAGAGCCGCGAGATCGAGACGTCGGATGTTTCGACCGACGTCGGAACGTCGCCGTGGATCGCGATCGACGCGACATCGGCGCACATCCACGGCGGTGCCGTCACGTCGTAGGACGTTTCGAGCCAAAGTGCAATATACGTGAGGAGGGCATTTCCGGAGAGCACGATGGGGGCGGGCGAAGCCGAGAAGGGCAATGTGATCCGCTCCACAAGTGTCCAGAGCGTCGCATCCAATGTGCTTTGGGCGCTTGTCCATAGACTTATAACGCTGGGCATGCGAACCGTGTTGCCTGGCAGCGTCACCGTTACGTCGGTCGGCGGCCCCATTGACGAAAGCATTGCAGCGTCCAGTTGAAACACTAGATAGGCGGACGAAGGGCCAAAGAGCGTTGCGTTGGCCATCGTGCACGCCGACCAGAGCTGCGCTGTCGGCTCAAACACGCCTTGGCACGGCGTCGCGCTGTTGCTGGCTTGGGGCGCGCTGCAGGTGGGTGGCACCACCGGACGCCACCGCCCACGCACCGATGGTTGTGGCGCGCCCGGATACGTTCGCGCGCCTTCCACCACGGTCACCGCACCTTCGGTGAAGAGCATGCCGGCTTCGTCGTCGTCTGCAATTGCCACCGACATGGTGGCCTGCAACGGCGAAGTGCACGACGCCGACGTCACGGCGCACACGCCGTAGGCGGCAGCACTGTAGTCGACGTCTTCGCTGCGCGCGAGATGCGCGATCGCACCGGTGCGCGGCCCCGACGCGACATCGTCGTTGGCCACGGCGACATGCACCGTCTGCGGCGTGCTCCACGATTCGCTCGTAAAGAGAACTTCGTTGCGGCAGACATCGTTGGCGCTGCAGGGCGAGGTATCCGACTCGATGGGATCATCGACCGAGACGCGGAGGACATTCGATGCCGAGAGAACGCTGGGCGACGGCAGGTTGGCCCCGAGCGTGACGCGCGCAGCGGCCATTGGCACTTGGTAGACGTTCACCGCTTCCAAGTACACGGTGCTGGTCGTCTGCACCGTCACGAATTGGGCTTCGACCAGCGACGAGATACTTGGCGCGTAGAGAATGCCCGCCGCATCCAACGCGCCGGTGGCGCCGTAGACGTGCCAGCTCAGCGCGACACTTTGCGAGGCGGTTGTTGTCGTCACGGTGAACGCGCGCGAGAATGACGCGGCTGCCGTGTTGACGGCTGGAAGCACGCCGGTGGTGAGTGACGCCGACGACAAGTAGACGTTGATCGTACTCACACCTGGGAGCAGCACACGAATGGAGAGAACGACGGCTTCGATGGCGTACGTGGCACCAAGGTTGGCTTGCCACCACGCGGGCCCTGTCAGCAGCGACATCGCTAGCGTTGACGGCGCTAGAACGGCCGATGCGTTCGCGCTGGGCGTGCTCTGAGCGGCGGTCGCAGCCGCGGCGAGGTTGACGAGCCCTGACGACGTCAAGCGGAGCGACGGCCGAAGGGTCGCATTCGCATGCTTGCTCGACGCCAACGTCACCTCGTCCATGTCACCGTAGACAAAGGTCGTCTCTCGCAGTGCGTAGAGCGCAATGGTCATTTCAGTTTGCCCCGCCGCCGAAAGATCATTAAGTGCAGTTGTGACGTCGAGGCTGAGCCAGCCGCTGCCGCCAACGTACTGGTTGCTTGATGTATTCAAAGCACCTTGTGGCACAATGTCGGTGAGCCCAGCGAGAAGGGTACGCGACGCCGCCGCGTTGCCAAACGGGACACCTCCGGGAAGCAAGTCACTTCGCGTCGTCGGCGGCGAGGTCGATGTGTCGAGGACGGTACATGTACCGAGAGCACACGACGTGACGAGCGTGGCGGCTCGCCAGGATGTCGATGACGTGGCAACGACAGCACCGAGCTGGAGTCCGCCGAGCCCGCCGTTTTCACCCCCCGAAAGGCGATAGAGTTGCAGCCGTGCGAGTCCAACGCGAGCGCTTCCCGTCGACGCAACAATGGATGCGAGTGAGAATCGGAGCAGCCCGACGTACTGGTAACTCGTCGTCGACGAGCTCTCGGACGCATTCGACGAGACGCGCAGCGTCGGGGCGGTGGCACTTTGATTGGCAAATGACGAGAGGGAGGTATCGTCGATGGGAGACAGTGCCACTTGATGCGGCTGCGAGAGGCTGAATGTCGGCTCCCAGTGCATGGGCTCGGTCGTCAACCGCAATGTGTAATCGGATTGACCAACCGTCGGACCGTTCTCGTTGTAGCTGCCTTGGGTTTGGTTGAGCGAAATTGACGCGGCGTCGTACCCCGACACGAAAAACGCCATTGTTTTCCCGGCGTAAAAAGGGTCCGTGCTTGCACTCGTGACGACGACGCGACCGGTCACAACGAGCCCGGCGCTGCTCGAGGTGTACGCGACATTGACCGAAGCACCACTCGACCATTGCACCGGCGTGAGGGTCACGGACGCCGGCGTCAGCGTGACACCGGCCGCCGATGTCGCAAGCGACAAGACAACGTTGGCCGTCGGCGTGCTCGAAAGAGAAAGGCGCACGCTGGCGACACGGCCGTGCGCTCGGGCACACACAAAGTTGGTCGGCTGGCCATGTTTGTGTCGCGTCTAGCGCAAGGTTTCAGAAAGTGCAATCTCAGAAAGGCAGTGTGCTACCGTTTCCGGCTGCAGGACGATCGCAGCGCGGTTGGCGTCCAAGACGTACGTGGCGACCGACGCGGCGCGCGGAGCCGTGAGAACCCCGTTCGTCGTCGCTACCCAAGGAAAGGCGTGCTGCGGGTTCCCAGTCAAGTAGACGCCCCATGGGCTCGTGTAGATGCTGGCGCCGTACACTACGCCGGATGCGCCGACCGAAAGCCGTGCAGGGCCGCTGTAGCGCGCATCCGAGCTCGTGGCCGTAAACGTCACCGGGATGGTATTGATACCCACCGTCGAATTGTCAGCGACGGCCGAGATCGTGACCGCTTGGGGAAGGTTCCAATTCGAGGTGGAAAATATGACGCTGCCGGCGGAGAGCACGAGCTGGTTGCTGCCCGCAGCAAGGGTGAGCGTGACGGTTGCCGTTGGCGCGGCGTTCAGAACGACCGAGACGACGTCGGTTTGACCGACCTCGGACACGGAGAGTGACGCCTTGGAGAGTAAGACCGCCGCGTCTCCGTCGTCCACAATCGACACAATCGCCGACACGTAGTTGGGCACGTCTGCAGGGCTGAGGTCCAGAGAGGCCATGAGGCTCGGGATAAAGCTCGTGGGGTACATGAGGTCGAGCCCCAAGAACGCGCCGCCCTGGACATTCTGCAAGACGACCTTGAAGACGAGGTTGGGGGCTTCAAAAAAGCTGTTGTCCACCTAGGATGCAACGTATCAGTGCATTATTGATGTACAGATGGCGAGGTACGATCGTGATGCTGATTTGCTTGACGCTCTCGCCGTCCTGAAACGTCAAGGTGGTTGCGGGCAGTGCCGTGTAGTGTACGCCTGGCGTTGCCGTGCACGGACTCACATGGCTGCACCCACGGGCTTGGACGACGCCCCAGTCATACAACGGGTCGTTGATGGTGAGGCCTGGCACCACGGTGCCAGCGTTGGTGACGACGTCAACTGACACGACACCGCTTGTGTACGTGTTGACACCTAGTACAGGAGCCACATAGGAAGCGGCACTACGCCGGGCAGCGCACCGGAAGGATCGGGCTTGCCGCTGCGAATAACGTCGAGGGTGACGAGCGCTGCGTTTTCGACGACGCTGTAGTTGGACGTGCGAAAGGAGAACGTGCCGGCGTCACGGTCGTCGACGATGTAGATCGTCGTCGTGTTCATGGTCGTCCCGATCGCGGCGCCGCCCGAGACGACCGAGAGCTCGACCTGCACCGAGCGAACGACGGGGTTGTACGCGGCGTTGTTGAACACGGTGACAGCAAACGCCTTTGCACGTCGCCTGAGAGCCAATTGATGACCTGCGTCTTGGTCTCGTAGTCGAACGCGCGGCTACTGCCCTGCGTCGCGTTGCCCGCCGTTGTCGTCGTGACGGTGAGCTGCACGGGGGCGACCGTCGACGTCGACGAGCCCAGTGTACGGTTGATGTACACGATCGCGGTGCCGTTGTCTTCCCGGCAGTAGGTGACGTCGGTCGAGAAGACAAAGACACCGGCGTCGTTGTTGTCCAAGATAAAGACGTACGTTGATGGAAAGGTGCCGAGTGCGCCGCGCACCGTGGGCGCCACCAGCTGCAGGGTGAAGAAGAGGCTATAGTACTCAAAGACCTGGGTGTCGATGATGCGCACGGAAATGGACGCGCTGGTTTGACCGTCCGTGAACGTCACCACTTGGTTCGTGTCGACCATGACATAGTTGGTGCCGCGGACAGCGGTTGTCGACATGGCATTACCCAGCGTGTACGCTATCGAGACGGTGCCGCACGAGCCACCGGTTCGAAGTATTGGGATCGTGACGGTGCCCGCAGCCTCGGAGAACGAGTAGTTGCTCATCGAGAAGGAAATGACGCCTGCTTGCCCCATGATCTGCACATACGACGTCGCCGTACTCGAGTCGATCGTGGATCCTGCCGTAGACCCCACGATCGTCACTTGGAAGAAGACATTGGTCGCATTCAAGCCGGCCGTGAGCACAGTGACGCTGAGTGTCTGCGTCGCGGCGCCAGCTGGAAAGGCCAGCGCATACGACGTGATGGGCAAGTAGTCAATATCGGCGACGGCCGACGAGGCAGGAATGCTGTACGGCGCCGTCGAGACAAGCACGTTTTGGCTCGCAGAGAGATCGCCTGTCCGCTGGACGACCAGTGGCACGGTCTGCGTGCCACAGACGCCGACACACGTTGCTGCATACGCCGTCGAGGCGCTCGTGTAGCCGCCTCCAAATCCAAAGGTCGAAGACGCCTCTGCTACGACAAGCACGCAGGCTGCGAAGAAGCAGATGCCCCGGCGAACGGGGCGCGCGAGGCCACCTCGTAGCATGAGCCGCCTGTCCGAAGTATCCAAATCGGCGCTGCACGTAACCGATCGATTATTGTACGGTGGAGCCTGTACCGTACACACAACGCATACTCCAATCAAGTAAAATAGTACATTGTATCATACGTCAGATATAATGATATTGGTATAAACAGTACGTACGTTCGTTGTCGGCGTACATTATGTTGTACCTGCAACGCTCGTGAAAAGCGTAACCGTCGTCACTTGAGAATTTTCGGCGCAGCGCGCAAGCCGAAGATCGCGACCGACGAAGCATGATGGGCGACCCGTTCGACGATGCATGGACGACCTCGAGGTACCCATCGTCATGGAGAGGCGAGGATGGTGATGGGACGGAAGCCACGACTACGCGCTCTGGGGCGACCTCGGGGACGCGGGCTTCAGCGGGCGCATGAGCAGCTCCGTCGGAACGCCACCGACTGCGGTCCTGGACGAAGCACCGGCGTACGAGCGCGAGCTCCGCGAGCATTACTTGGGCAGCGCGTCGCTCGAGACGGAACGGGCGCAGTCGGTGAAGGCCACGATCCAGTTCCTCTTGGGAGGGAGCGCGTCGCCGGCTGGATCGCCGTCACCACCATCTCCCCACTCAAGCCCTGTCCAGCCAAAGCAAGAAGATAAAATCGAGGTTTTCGACGCCCAAAGTACATGGGCTCGATCTATGGATTAGGCGTTAAGGAAGAGCAGTCGTTTCTGGCCGCCGTCGAAACCTTGCGCTTCACAAGGGTGCGGCTGGAGCGAAAGGCGAAGCTCCGCGCCGCGGTGCCCCAGGAGAGCCCCGACGACGATGTATGGAATCGGAGAGGGCGTGTACATCGCTTTTACGGCGAATAATGTCTCGTCTCTGTCTTGCTATCAAGGAGCTTTCGCCGACACCACCGCGCAAGCCACCGGCGCGAAAGACAATGGCGCGCCCGGGCCTGCGCGAAGCCCCGGTCCCATCCACGCGCTACAAGACGCGTGAGCGCAGCACGCGACGGTCTCTCATCGACAGCTTCGACTTGGACGAAGCATACGAGCCGCCCATCAAGCACTCACCGCCAGCCGTGGTGCGTTCGGTGAAGAAAGCGCGCTTTTCAAAGTCGCGCGGCTACACGGTCAAGCCGTGCGAGTATCCTGGCTGCGACAAGTGGTCCCGAACGCGCGGTCTTTGCAAGCGCCATGGCGGCGGAAAACGCTGCCAAGTCACGGACTGCCCCAAAAGTGACCAAGGAGGCGGCTACTGCATCAAGCATGGCGGAGGCAAGTCTATCCTCGTCTTCCTACGGAAATATGAGATGTACGCGTAGGGCGACGCTGCTCTGTGTACAAGTGCAAGAATTCGGCGCAGGTGAAAGGCTTGTGCAAGAGTCACGGGGGTACGCACGTCCATCGTACACCGGCTGTACTCAGGTTTTGCAAGGTGTCCGACGCCAATATTGAAGCTCCATGCGTGCGCCTGGTTCATGAATGACGTTGCTGGATTTGCTTTGCTTTACTTCGTCTAATTAATTGTTTGGATTGGCGATCGTGCCCGCACACGCCGTCATTGCAGCTGCCGCGGTCGACCACGCCAGTGTGCGTCAACGATGGATCGTACTAGCGACCTGTGCCTCCTTGTCATAGCTCTGGCAAGACGGCATGTGCAAGACCGAGTCATCGACGTTCCTGAAGTTACGAAACAAGACACTGCACTCTGCGCTGGACGCACCACGTCGTCGCCAGTGCCCAGCACCGAACAACAAGCGAGTGGCTTGGATGTAGCCAATCAGTGTCCGTGAGTCCGGCGCCAGATCCTGCTAACGCCTTCTCCAAGACCGCCAGGCTGCGCGACAGGCTACTCGGAGAAGAGGAGCGCTGAACAGCAGTATCCTGCCCGATGAGCAGCCGCCTCCACTGTCGACCCACGAGCTGGCACCTGTGCCACTGACCTTCTACTCTGGTTGTGGCGCCACGGTAGCATTTATCGACTTGCGCGCACGATGAGAGCCATCCTCGCAGCCATCGTGGTAACGTTATCGGCCATCGCCCACACCGTCGCAGCTGCGGCGTCGCACGCGAGCACAAGCTCGTCCAGCTCGAACACCCACGCGATATTGCCGCTTGCTTGCGCGCACGATGAGAGCCATCCTCGCGGCCATCGTGGTAACGTTATCGGCCATCGCCCACACCGTCGCAGCTGCGGCGTCGCACGCGAGCACAAGCTCGTCCAGCTCGAACACCCACGCGATATTGCCGCTCGCTTCGACAAGCGCCTCAACGATTGCCACCCTGCCCATCCTGCGATCCGTGGTGGTCCCTTCCAGCACCATTGACCATCAAGTGACGAGCACAGCCAACGCATGTACGCACTGCGCACTCTCTGGATGCCATTAAGTCTTATGCATCTGTATAGTGAGTAGCTCCATGGTTGCACTTTGGATCATCGTGGGCGGCGTGATTGCCCTCGTCATTGCGTGCGTCTTCTTCGTCGTCAAGGCGTGCGCCAAGCGCCGCCAGCCCGTGACCAAGCTCAGCGTGATCGACACGCTGGAGCTGCGGCAGTTTGACCAGCTAGTCGTGCCGCTGGGTCCTATGCACAGCGCCCACCAAGCGCCTGCGCAGGACGAGGTCCCTCGCTCCTCGCGCTTCAACCTGCGGCCGCTGCCCTACGACCCGCAGTAAGCCCTGGCAATAAACTAGATGATTGTATGGTATACAAAATAGAAGATAGACGAATGAACGCACGGTTTTATCGTACATATGTACGTACGTTCGGCATACCCAAAGCAAGTGTAAGCGTACGTTATGGATCGTACGAGCGGCCTTCGATTTCTGTAAAGATACAAGCGACGTGGGTCGAAGCGCTCGAAAGGAGGTCGCCGCCATGTCGGACTGCCTCGTCCCGCTTGAGATGGCCGAGATGGACGAGAACGCCGGCGACGTGGGCAACCTTCTCTGGCCGGTTGCCGGCGCGCCCGACATTCGCAACGTGGCCATGAGCATGCTCACGCTCAAGCGCGCGGCCAACGACTGGCCATCAACCGATGGGTGGCCATTGGACGTGACATGCGACGAGCCGATGCATGAGGACAGTAAAGGTGCCCATCTCCAAGATGCATGCGCGCCAAAGCATGTGGACGCATCCGCCATTGACCTCAGCGTGCTCTGCAGCCTCTCGTACCTGCGCGACTCGGACGATGGCCTCAACATGTCGTCATCCTCGTCGTCCTCCGAGGACGACGATGGATCGCCGCTGCCGTCAGATGACGATGGCGAGAGCGACGTGCCATTGCCGTTCCGTGCAAAGCGAGCGCGCACCGACGACGAAGACTCGGATTTTATGGAGCGCGTCAAGAAGGTACGGCGGTCGTCGTCGAAACGCTTCCGAGCGGTCGACCATTTTGCCGTGCAAGCACCCGGGGTGCACGAAAGGCGCTCGGTCGCGCGGCCTCTGCAAGCGACACGGCGGCGGGAAGCGGTGTTCGGTCGACGACTGCGCGCGCAGCGACCAAGGCGGCGGTTTCTGCATCAAGCACGGCGGCGGTACGCACTACCTTGCACGCAACGTCGTCGTCTCATGAGGACGGCGTAGGTCGGCGATGTGCCGTGGAAGACTGCAAGAACTCGTCCCAGTCGCGCGGCCTCTGCAAGCGGCACGGCGGGATTCGCCCGCGCCGGCGCAACCCGTCGTGACGACACGATTGAGTATCGACACCCTTTTCTATTTACACGAATTCGTGCACCATGCCTCCGTCGTCCTACAGAGACGCAGAGCCCCTCTACCGCCTTGGGTACCTACTATTCAGTGCCGTCCCACGGACAGCGACCGATATGCTCAATCGAACGGTGCCTCAACTGGTCTATCCAGCGGCAAGCCGCTCAGAGGCGGTGCGTCGGAATGGCTGATCGCGTAACCGGACAGTATGTGTCAAGCCTCTGCTGCATCGCTCAGTACTTTTGGGCCATCGCATGGTGTCATCGCCCGGGCGGCTGGCCTTAGCAGCACTGGGTGCGCGCAGTGGGGTGCGCGAGTGGAGAGGGCCGGCAGCCCCTCGATGTGGAGGCGGTGACTTGGCACGTGGCTGCCGCGCTTGTGCGGCTGCCGCACGAGGTCGCTACGTGGCAGCGCGGAAGCGAACCGAACGGCTAGGATCACGGAACGATCTTTTGGCGGCGGCGTTGCTCGGACGCGTGGCAGTCCGCCCGTGTGACCAACAGCCTCGTCCTTTTTTCAAGGGCAAGAGTGGGATCGCGGGCCACGATCGTCCAATCGGCTCGGTTAGGTGCGCGGTTTAGTCGCGCACTTAATCGGTTGCTGGAATCTTTGCAGCCCATACAATGTTGGAGTCAAGATAAAGCCAGCGAAATTTATGAAACCATAACGGTTATCGAATCCGGATACGGGTTCCCAGTCATTTCCCGGCCCCAGATACCATTATAATCGGTTTTGCGATGTTGCACGCCAGTCGCCGCCTCCTCCGCGCCCCTGCGCTCGCCCGGACGTTCGTCGCGCCGATGGCTGCGCGGACTCTGCCGACGGCTGCGGCCGACGAGCATGGCTGGGCCAAGTACGGTCTCGGCGCTGCGCTCCTCATGGCCGGCGTCGGCTTGAGCCAAGCCGACAACTGCGGCATTGTCGGCGTCGTGAGCAAGCACCAGGAAGCCAACAGCTTCTTGCTCGAAGGCCTCACGATCCTGCAGAACCGCGGGTACGACTCGGCGGGCATGGCCACGTCCAAGCACGACGGCGCGGCGCCGATTGAAGTGACCAAGTTTGCGTCCGTGCAGGGCACGGCCGACTCGATCAACCTCCTGCGCCAGACCAAGGACAAGCACGATGGCAACACGGTTGGCATTGCGCACACACGCTGGGCGACGCACGGTGCGTGCCTATGACGCCGCCTCATCTGTACTCATGAGATGCGTAGGCGGCAAGACGGACGAGAACTCGCACCCGCACATGGACATGAACAAGCGCGTGGCGGTCGTCCATAACGGCACGATCACCAACTACAACGAGATCAAGAACGAACTCATTGCGGAAGGCGTCACGTTCACGTCGCAGACGGACACGGAAGTCATTGCGCAGCTCATTGGGCACCTCATGGGCGAAGGCGCCGACTCGCTCACGGCAACGCGCCTCGCACTCGAACGCCTCGAAGGCACGTGGGGCCTCTGCATCATGGCGCGTGACGAGCCCGGCAAGGTCATTGTCGCGCGCAACGGGTCGCCCTTGTGCATTGGGTACCAACTTCTCTTCTTTTCGTGCGCATTGACTCATCTCGCTTCTAGCTACGGCTCCAACTCGATGTACATTGCGTCCGAGACGACTGCCTTTTCGCGCCACACGAAGCGGTTCCTGTCGCTCCAGGACGGCGAGGTCGCGGTCGTCAAGTGCGACTCGGCCGAGCTCAACCCGCAGGACGACAACAACGAAGGCACGCTCCAGCGCTTCCCCACGTCGCGCCTCGGCACGGCGCCGGACGTCAAGGTCCGTCTCTCGCCCGCGCCGTTCCCGCACTGGACGATCCGCGAAATCATCGAGCAGCCCAAGGCGGTCGCGTCGGCGCTCGGCTACGGCGGGCGCGTCTCGGACGACCACGTCTACCTCGGCGGCCTCGAAGCGGAGAAGGACAAGATGCTCAAGATCAAGCATTTGCTCATCTCGGCGTGCGGCACGTCCTTGAACGCGGCCAAGTACGGCGCCAAGCTCATGCGCACGCTCGGTTCGTTCGACACGGTCGCGACAGAAGACGCGGCCGAGACGACCAACGAGCGCCTGCCGCGCCACGATGGCGGTCTCCTCGTCGTGTCGCAGTCGGGTGAAACCAAAGACGTCCACCGCGTCCTGCAGCTCCAGCACGCGCAGGACCTCCCGATGTTCTCGGTCGTCAACGCTGTCGGGTCGCTCATCGCCCGAACGACGCGCTGCGGCGTGTACCTCAACGCAGGTCGTGAGAACGCGGTGGCGAGCACGAAGGCGTTCGTGACGCAGGTCACGGTCCTCGGTCTCATTGCCGCGTGGTTTGCCCAGAACCGGGCCGAAGTGAACCGCACGAAGCTCGACGAGCTCATCCAGTCGCTGCATCGCCTCCCGATCACGATCGGCATGGCGCTCCGGACGCGCGCGATCTGTGCCGACATTGCCGACAAGCTCATGCCGTCCGAGCACCTCTTCGTGCTCGGGAAGGGCTACGCCGAGCCGATCGCGTACGAAGGCGCGCTCAAGATCAAGGAGATTACGTACTTGCACGCGGAGGGCTACTCAGGCGGTGCGCTCAAGCACGGCCCGTTTGCGCTCATCGAAGGCAAGGAGGGCCAGTTTGGCCCGACGCCGATCATCCTCATCGTCTTGGACGACGAGCACGGCCAGCTCATGAAGACGGCGGCCGAGGAGGTCCGTGCGCGCGGCGCGTACACGATCATCATCACCGACAACCCGGCCATGTGCGACGGCCTCGGCGACGCGGTGATCCCGATCCCGAACAACGGCCCGATGACCGCGCTCCTCGCGAGCGTGCCGCTGCAGCTCATCGCGTACGAACTCGCGGTCAAGCGCGGTATCAACCCGGACGTCCCGCGCAACCTCGCCAAGGCCGTCACGGTCGATTAAGCCGTTGCATAGTTTATACGAAGAATATGACGTTGTGTACATACCATTTGGAACGGTATTCTTGTCGTTCCAGTCGAAGGAATCATTATCCAGATGACAAGGAAGACACATCAACTACGTTGTCTACGTTGGGCTACATGGAGACGCGTACGAGGTTCGAGCGCTGGGTCGTGGAGAGAGCGCAGTGGATGCGATGGAAATGTTGTCAATCAATCAATCAACCAATCAAACGTGTTCGCCTGCGTAGTGCTACGCCTGAATGCGTGGGAGTTGGCACGAGCACTTGGTCGTTGGGAGTGAGCTGTAGAGATCCATATCGTGGTGGACCCCACTCGCCGAGGGATAGAAAGGTTGTCGTATCTTTTTTGAAGTATATTATGGGCCACCAATGTGGCGGCGATCACTCGTGCAGGGACTTGGTCGACTTGGCTTTGGCTTTGGCGCTGCGCTGCGAGTCGACGAGGACGCGGACGACCTCGGCCACGTTCTCGGGCGACGGCGTCGGGTACGACCAAAAGCCACCTGCGACGCGCTTGGGCGGCTCGACGCCCGGTTGCGACGTGTCGGCGAGCCGCCGATAGAGGTAGGCGCGGAACGAGAGGCACTAGGACAATAAGATTGCGTCGAGTTGTTCCTCCAGCGCTCTCACAGTACATCATCGCGCTCCTTGGTCATCTTGGTGAGCGCCGCGCGTAGCGTTGTGGCCTACAGTAGTGTGGTCGCCTTTGACAGAGCCGACGTCGGTGGACGTACGCTGCGCAGGTGGTTCTCGGCCTCGGTCTGCGCTCGTTTCTACTACATTCTTTGTACCCAGTGGCGACATCGAGGCAGCGTACGAGCTCGATGGTTGCGAGCTTTTGGTGGGCGTCGGCGGTCTGGTGGAGCTGCGCCAGCGTGGCTTCCAGCTACGTCCGTTGTCAACGACGGCCAAGAGACGAATCGCGTCGTACGTCTTTGATGACCGCTTCGGCGCGGGTCCGAGCACTCTCTTCGAGCTCGAGACTCGCTTGCACCTTGTGGTGCTGTCGCTCCGACTCGGCGAGGAGGTCTGTGAGCTGCTGGAGAGCGAATTTCGACTGCGCGCCTTCCCGCTACGTTGATGTTTACCGGTATGTGAATTCGAGTGGACGACTACGATGCATGCAGACACCACCTTGAGCTGGTTGTGCAGCTCGGCGACCGTACTGTCGAGGTCCTACGCCACTTCAAGTCCCCGCATTGCCTCCTGCTAAAGTACGCGAATCTTTTGCTGCATGGTGGCGGCTTCCACACGGCTCTGGTCCAGCGTTCGTTCGCGCGCTTGCAGCTACACTTGCGATCGTAACGTTAGGAAGGAAACCCAAGGAGTACCTTGCCAATGGTATGCCGGAGCGTCGCCTGGGTCTTGGCGAGCTCGGCACTGAGCTCTGCCTCACGCGGTCGGCGGCAGAACCGACACACGTGCCCGTTGGCGACGTCGGCGATCAGCGGTGGGATGTCATCGCCTTCTGCGTGGCCCTCGGTCGGAGTCAAGCGACTGTCGCGGCGGCTGCCGGTAGTCGGGCGCTCCGCCTGGTTGGTCTCGCTGCTTGGATGGGGGTCTCGCGGTGCGCGTACTGTATCCACTGAGCGCCCAGCAGAACGGGCGACGCAATGCGCTTGGCGATCGACGCGATCGCAAACACAAATTCGAGCCGCATCGCTTCGACTTGCATTGTTTTCTGGAGGTGCGAAAAGACCTGCATCGTCACGGCCTGCAGCGTCGACTCGATCTACAGCCTGCCACGTCATGAATTTCTCCATAAGAAATGATCAAAACCTCGGCCGTCGTTCCATACGTCAGCACGGTGCCGCTCTCGAGCGACGAGGCATACGGAGCTGCGGTGATGGCAATCCCTCCGGCGATTCTCGACCGGCGGGTCTCGCCCTCGGCGTGGAGTTCGGCGAAGTAGCGGAGCCCGTCGTGGGGCACGGTGTACGCCTGGAGGCAGTACGCACCGTCGTTGAATCGACGCGGGCCTGGCAACCGCGCGACCGGTGCGAACATGTCGGTCTCCCGCGCGCACAGCGTGCGGACGTACGCATCGAGCTGCGTCTCGTCCAAGAGCCGCAAGGTATCTTCACAAACGACGGCGACGGTGGTGTCGTCGACGGCGTCGGCGAGTTCCTACTGGCGTTGTCGCAAGAAGAGGCCTATTGAAGACATGGGACCTGCAGCTGGAGCTCAAACAAGAGCAAGTTTGTGTTCTGGATCGCCTTCTTGCGCTGGATCAGCGACGACTTGTGAGAGCAGAAGAGCCACTCGACGAGGACCCCTTCGTCGTCCAAGAACGCCGTGTGCGGAATCATCACGCCCCGCGCGCCGTGCAGATGCTGCAGCACAAAGTACGTCGCGGCCCGGCGACCGTCCGCCGTGTGCACGTCGACAAGCCCTCCGGTCACCATGCGTGGTAACGTTATAATGGTGCAAAGATAGATATCACCGAGGGGTGCCACAGGACGGTCTGCGCTGTCAAGAGCCAATTTGATGTTTCCGATGCCAACGCCAACGGGAGAGAGACGAAAGGGCCAACGTCTACGGGCTCGAACCCCGCAACTCATGCGTGTGAAGCAGGAATCCACCGACGGGACAAAAGGTGGTGGATTCGATGCCATTTGCGTCTAGACAAACGCAACCACACAGACACCAAGTCTCGTGGGGTACACTGGAGTTGCTGAATGCGATGGTGACAGGGAGAGCGTCAGGTCATGCTCGATGTAGAGGGTGAGAGCTGTTTGACCGGCTGTGCCGCCGATAGATGGGCTCAAAACACGCAATGCGAGTGCACGAAGCTCTGCGATGGCGCGTCCGCTGTCGATGGCAAGACTCGAGAGACGAAGAGTAGGTTGAACGAAGACGCGGTTCGTCTGTGCGTACCCGCAGCTTACGGAGCCTCCAACGCTAACTCACACCGAACCCTAACCTCCGTCACACGACCATGTTCGCGATGACCGTGAGCAGCCGTCTCGCCGTCGCGGAGGATGCCGGACCTCGACATGGCGAGATATACTTTACACGTTCGTCGTCCTCCATGATGGCATAAACCATCGCCGTGTGTATTTATTTCGACTTCATGTCGAACGCGACAACAACGTGGCTCCGATCCTCGAGGCCCGCATCGGTCAAGAGTGCCTTGTCGTCGAGTGCCTTGCCGTGGAAATAAAGAACGAGCATGTTGGGCTGCACGTCCTGTCCGCGCAAGTCAAGGTGCTTCGTTTCGAGCGTCGGCCGCGCCGAGAGCTTCTTGGCGATTGCCACCTTGAGGTCGCGCACCGCCCGCGCGACGCCGATTCGAAACGTGAGCGAGAGGCCGTTGGGAAAATGACACGTGATGGGTGCGCGGCGGTCGTCGTCGGGCAGCGCCAGCGCCGACGGCTACAACAAGCGCTCGTCAACGTACAACGAGGCGACACACAAGACAGATGGCGGCTACCGTCGCGTCGGCGGAGCCGCGTCGAAAGTACTCTGGCGTCGACACGCGGGGTGGGATAAGAAATGGGTTGCTGCCGTCGGCGGTCTCGACCATGGTCTGTAAATGCGCCTTGATCATGCTCATCTTGTACGCCGCGTCGGGCTGTTTTTTTGACCCACTCGAACGGATCAAAGCTGGGCTTGCGCGGACCGGCCCCCGTGGCCCCCGAAAAACTGCGGTCACCAGCGACCACCGACGGCGCCGTCGTCTCGAGAATACTCTTCGCGGCTCGTGTTTGCTACAACAATACACGTGGCTACCTCGCCGCACCATGAAGAGGGTTCTCGCACCCGCTGGAGTCGGTCTCGGTAGATCTCGTCGTGCGTCACGCGGTCCGGGTTGGGCATCCACTGGGGCTCTCGGGCCAGCGACGAGTGAAAGCCGACAATCATGCGTGACGGCTCGACGTCCAGTGGCTTGGACAATGGGCGGGGGTCGTATGTGGCTGCGCTCACGTGCTCGGGCGTCGCACTTGACGCATTCGACGGACGATCGGCTTGCGGAAACGAAAAGCCGATCGCAGGCAGCGACGCCTCCGACGGTTCGTGGATGATCACTTCTGGCACACCGCGTCGGCGACGTGGCGGCGTCTTGGCCGTCGTCGCTGTCGACGGTCCCTTGCGCCGAACCGGGCTCGATCTCGAGAGGCTGGGGTAGACGCAGGTGCGCTCACTCGCCCGGCCGTGGCGATACGTCTCGTGCGGGATCACATGGTCGGGAGTAAAATGGACTTCGCGCGCTGGCCCCGAGTGCAGCACGGGGACATGTGGCGCGGCCAGCCGTGGATTCGGGTCGTACGCGCCGGGTCCTGGTCCGACAAACTAGGCGTCTTCTTGAAGGCTTTGGTAGACAGCGATTGTCGTACCTGAGACGAGGTTGAGATGGCATTCCGGACATAGTTGGTGGGCAGATGCAAGGACGCGGCGACGTCCGCCTCCGTGACGCTCCACTCGCGCCGGGCTTCGATGCGCATGAGCGCGCGAAACACATCTTGCGACAGAATGTGGCGCCGGTCCACGTCCATCGCGCCCGGTTGGTTGTCTATGGTCGTAAATTTAGGTTGGCGCATGGAAACGGCAGCCACCCGGCGGTATGACGTCCCCGACGAACTCGCGGCCGAGTTCACCCCCAACGAAGCCGACGAGGTGCGTACTGATGCAAGCACGGGGCCTCGCAACGATGCGTGTATTAGCTCTCGGCGCTCTTCGAGTCGGCCGACACCAATCGCAGCGGCGCGATCGACGAAGCCGAATTCAAGAAGCTGCTGGTGCGCATGGACATTCAGGTGCCCGACGAAGAAGCCGATTTGCTTGTGATGGCCGTCGATACGAGTGGCAACGGCCTCATCGAGTGGACCGAGTTCGTGCTCGTATGCAGCGATGCAGGCGTGGCGCCCTTCAAGTTGACGATCTTGGTGGTAGATGGTGCTGCAGGCGCGGCGCGGCGACAGCCGGTACGCAAAGCTCAAGAGTCTCGCCGACGCCCTCAACGTGACGCCCATCAACCTCCTCCAAGCTGAAGCCGGTGCGCATCTGCTAGTCCCTCGGACGATCCTCGATCCTCCGGTCTAGACAAGTTCCAAATGAATGTGACCTACAAGCTCCTCGAAGAGCGGAAGGCGACCAAGTACAACCCCACGACGTATCTTTTCTCGGTCACGATCGACGCGCCGCACGACGGCGGGTCGCACGAGGTCTATGAAGCGATTGGCTTCTCGACCCGCGAAGCCAAATTCAAAGCGGCCGAGCTCGCCCTCGTCAAGATGCGCAAGATGAAGCCCGGGTACGAGTTTCCCGTTGGCACGATTCCCGACAAATGGGACGTGTGGGCCTTTGCCAACCTCGCGCGCCGCGTCAAGCCGACGACGGTAGCTCCCATGCGGCGTATCTATACACCGAGTCTTTTGATAGGTCTTGACGACCCTGGTGCAGAAAGGCTTTGCGCCAGCGACCAACTTGGTCTTTATGAAGCGGCTCTCGGTGCGGCTCTCGTCGCGACGGCTGGTTAAAGAGGCACCGATGGTGCTCACATCAACAGGTGGCCTCCCGTCTGCGTGGCGTCGCTGGATCGATGACCAGCTCGCACGCGGCATGGACGGGCGTCTCGTACTCTCGGAGCTCCAAGCGTATGGCTTTGACGAGGCGCGGGATCTGCATACGACGCAAATGCTCCAGCGCCACCCGCTTGCCGACGTCAGCTATGATTTCTGGTCGTGCCTGCACGCGGGAGACCTCTGCGAGGTACCGAAATGGGCTCTTGCATCGCTGAGAAAGTAGCGGTGTAGGTGCAGCTGTTTGTGGCCGCTGGCCATGACGTAAACCACGAGCGCCTCGACCGCCGGTGTCAAGTGGCCTTCACGCCCTTGCAATTCGCGGCCAAGCACGGTTATGAAGACATTGCACGCTTCTTGCTCCAACATGTATGTACTTATTGTCGCCTGCACGATTGTCTACCACGTGCACACCTTGTCATAGGGCGCCAAGGTGAACGCGGCCAACAGCTTTCGCCGGACGCCATTGATGTTTGCTGCGCGCCACGGCCACCCGAACGTGCGCATTGAATCGCAATGTAAACTGGCGGGGATCGATCCCTGTACCACCTTTAGATCGTGCAGCTGCTCCTTGACGCCGGCGCCTCGATCGTCGCCACGGACAACCTTGAAAACACACCACTGCACCTCGCAGCCGTCGCAGGCTGCGCACAGGCACCGTTTGCAATAGTCCAACAAAACGATCGTTGATAGATCGGATGCTAGTCGGCACGCGCCATCTTGACAGCAGAAGCCAAGTACATGCGGGCGTGCATCGTCAACACCAACCCGGCGCTTTGCTTTTTGGACCAAGCCCGGGCGTTCCGGCGAGAACTTGCGGCGCTCTACGACGTTCTCATGGAGAAGAAGCTGCCGCGGAATGCCTACCGCCGCTTTGAGCAGGCGTGGATCCCAGACGCGATTGATTGCGCTTACGAGGTAGCGATCTACAATGTCGTCGCAGCTCGGTCACATATTGTGTAGCGCTTGTTCCGAGCAAGAACGCTCCCCGTTCTCAAGCCGTCGCGTGCTGTGATCGATCGCGTCTTGCAGCGCTACCGGTACCTACAAGACCAGTGCCCGGACGCCCTCGACGACGTCGAGCGCCAGCGGGTCGAGGACGCACGCGCCCACGGTGTGCACAACGCGACGCACCTCCAGGTAATCCCTCGCTCCACCATGGTGTGGTTCATGGATAAGGATGAGGATGTAGATCTACTTGGAGGCTATGTTCAAAGAGGCGTACAAGAATGCGCCCAACCGCCAAGGCCGGACCGCCCTGCATTTGGCGTGCGATGAGAACCTCGTGTGCAGCCACGAGGTACCAAAAACAGAGTACTACTTGATACAGAATGTTGTCATAATGGCGATGCGATTAGGCCGTGCTGCGGGTCCTTCTGGATACCTTCGGGTGTGACCCTAGCATTCGAGACCACCTCGGGTATGCACCGCTGGACGTGTTGATTCACCGAAAAGGGCGACCGGGAAGCCCGCCCGAGGACAAATTGTCAGAGTCCCGAGTTCGAAGCGACCGCGCCTCGCGACTTCAAAGCAACCAGACGCGTCGTCGGAACGAGCGAGATGCTCAGCGACGGGCCTTTTTCGAGTCACAGCTGCTGCAGCTGCTCCCAACCCACCCGGTACGATCGACGCTTCGTCCCTCTAACTGAAGGACGTCATAGGAAACCAATGAGATTGATCTGCGCGAGGCCAAAGCGCGAAGCCGCGTGTCACGTGTCCTCGGCGGGTGGCAGGTACCTCCATGGCGACGAGTGCATTATTTTTGTAGCAACAGACGTAGGAGTATTGTGATCCGGCGAGCAACAACCCATTCTACGAGCACGTCGAGTCGGGGCACCTGACGCTGGAGATGCCGGACGCGATCAAACAGTCGATCGCGAAGACCCTGCAGTGGTACACGAGGCGCGTCAACGGCCGCATCTTGGAGAAGCGAGGTAGTCCACAGGCTCATTGCTCATCGTCAGGTATGCTGCCATTGTAGACGGCTGGACGATGCACCGCGACCGGCGACGCGCGCGCGTCTTCTTCTTCAACCAAGCGACGGGAACGTACCAGTGGCATCCACCCGAACGCGTCGACGGCTGGGTCAACACGCCGCCAAATGTGCAAGCCACGTCCCTCGACGAGAGTGACGGGAGTGACAACGACGACAACGACGATGTGACCGAGTTACTGCGGCTACAAGACGTGTCGGAGAAGCTCTTGCGCCGCCTCGGCGGCGTACGTCCCTCTGTATTTTTTGCCATTTTGCTCGAAATAAAGAGTAGTGGGAAGAACACCGCGATGCGGCGACGGGCGGTCGCGTCTATTGCCACAGTGCGACGGGTCGTCTTACGCGGGAAACGCCAGACGAGGTGCTCCATGAAGAGCGCAAGCGCCAGGCGTACACGCTTTTGATCCAGTCGGCGCAGTACATGGACAATGTTGGTCCATGATAAGACATGTTGCCATGCGTACTTATTGAAACAACTAGGTCGGCGCGTGGGACAAGTATTACGACGAGACAACCAAGCACGTGTTTTACTACAACCACGGCACGGGCGAAGGGCGGCACGAGTCCGAAGGCAACGAGGCGGCGTGGCGCGCGGTAATAGTGGCCTGCTTGATACATGGTTGATACGTACTTGATACTTTAGGAGGCACAAGATCCGGCAGCGACTGCCAAGCAAACGCGCCGGCTTTTCGACGACGAACTCGCCAAGCGCAAGGAGCAAGCCGAGTGGACCGAGGCTCTGCAGCGCGCCCACCGACGCGACATTCACGCAACGGTGGAGCGTATTGTGCCGCTCGATGAGCACGGACGCCGCTTACAGCGTCTCAGCGCCGCTGTTGTGAGCGCGTAGTCGACTTGAAACTATGCATGATCCGTGTTGAATTATACCTGTAGGATCCAAACGACGTTTGCATCCGAGTCGGTGGGCTACCGCGACGCCCGCATCGAGTCGGAGCTGCGGACGCTCCACAAAGCGTGGGCCCTTGGGCTCTTTGTGAGCCAGAAACACGACGTGCCGGTGGTGACTGGAACGCGCGAGATTGCGGCGGCCATCCAAGCCGACGAAGCCGAAAGCGCAGCTATTGAAGACCACGATCGCCATCCAAGTCTCTCGGAGCGCCGCCGCGTCGAGCGCCTTCTGGAGGCTGCGGTATCGCGTCTGGATGCGAAATGTGGTCTCTGTCTCTGGGGTTGTCATCTGTGGCTGCGACTTGGTCTCGAGCTGGACGGGCACGAGAACGACGACTGTCGACACCGGTGGGTACCCTTCTGAACCAAAAATTGATGATGAAAGTGCGTAGACTCATGCTCTGTCGACTGGGCTGCACCGTGGTCCACGAAGCGCACGTGTGGACCGCGCCACACGGCGACACGACCGAGCTGGTGTGGCACGAGGCCGACGAGTGCGACACGCGGCTCGTGTGCTGCCCGTTGAACTGCGGTATGTGGGTCGGCTTGGATACGCTCGAGCTGCATACGACCGAGAAATGTGTGTGCCGCCCCGTCTCGGACCTCACCTGTCGCCTCGGCTGCGGCAAGGTACTCGCACATAACGCCGTGTTCTGGCATTGAACTTGAGTAGCATTTCGACGGCACCAACAATCAGATCTTGGAGCTCGAACAAGAGCGGGCGTGGCACGAGGCCGAGGACTGCCCGTTGCGCATCGTCAAGTGTGCGTGGCCCGAGTGCCACGCGACGATGCTTGCCAAAGACCGCAAGCTCCACCGACGCACGCACCTCTGTGGTACGAGCCATACGATGGTATTGCGGCTCGATACGTCGTCGTAGCCTCGGGCATAAGTACGTTCAAGGTGGCCGGTCAATTTCAATTTGTCGTGCCCCGTGACGTGAAGCACATCAAGGTTCAAGCGTGGGGCGGTGGCGGTGGCAGCGGGCTTCTTCACGGCTTCAAAAGCGGCCACGGTGGCGGCGGCGCCTTTGTCGAAGGCATTCTCCCCGTCTTCCCCGGCGAGGTCATTCTATTTACTATGACGGTCTGCATGGTGACGTTGTTGTTGGTAGACGCTGATGTTTGTCGTGGGTGGCGGCGGCCAAGGTGGTGTGTTTGGCGAAACCACGCCAAGTGACACGGAAAGTGGGCTGCCGCTTCTGACGCGCGTACGTCACCAATATCAACAAGGATGTCGAGCATGCGCTTTTGTAGACGGGCGAGGCGAGGGGCGGGGACCCTGGCGGTGGCGCGGGCTACAGTGGCAACAACGAATGGGCCTGC